GGGGGGAGAGATCACTAGGGCTTGGATTTTCATAGCCACGTCCATCCACTATGGGCTGATTTTCATGCCGACGCCATTCCACTAGGGCTGATTTTCTTGGGTAGGGCTATCTATTGCGCACATGCTTACTAGGTCTTATTTTCGGGAAACACAGTATGTTGCTCAGACAAACATAATCTCGAGCGTATATAACTATTACCTTTGGAAAATACCAAGATGCCTAGAAAATAATCATAACATCAACACACAGTAGTTCTAAAAAAGGGACGTGGCTACAAAATAGAACAAAAAAAATCCTGAATCTGGAAGAATTCATTCATGTACATAAAGATCAAATAAACTTTCCTCTGTTGCCATAGCAATATGATTTAGTTTTACCTACTGTTCAGTCAAATAAATATTTATTTACCGCATCTTTCAATCAAGGTTAGATTTTTAACTGATGCTCTTATTTTAAAAGTGACACATGCTCATTGAAAAAGAATTCAAAAGTGTGTACAATAAAAAGAAAATTTCCTTCTTATCCTCCCTCATTTCCCTCAACCATCCTACTCTAAGTCTAACTACTATTATTAATAGTTTATTTTATCTCCTTCCGGCGCTTTTATCTGCTCACTCAAACTATATGTATATGTTTTGTGTGTGGCTCTTGTTTTGAATAACATTGGAATTTACTTTGTACTGTTGTTCTGCAACTTACTTTTTCCTTCATGTTCAATCAGTTTACATGTGATCTACCCATTCTCTCTTTTTTTTTTTTTTTTTTTGAGACAGAGTCTCTATTGCCTAGGCTAGAGTGCCTGTGGTGTCAGCCTAGCTCACAGCAACCTCCAACTCCTGGCTCAAGCGATCCTCCTGCTCAGCCTCCACGAGTGCGTGGAGCTACAGGCATGCACACCCCCATGCCTGGCTAATTTATATACTATATATATATATATATTATTTATCTTTTTTTTTTTTTAGTTGTCCAGGTAATTTCTGTTTTTTTGGTAGAGATGGGGGTCTCGAGGGGAAAATAACACATCCCCTGAAAATAAGCCCTAGGGTGTCTTCTGGAGGAAAAATAAATAGAAGACTCTGTCTTATTTTCAGGGAAACACGGTAATCAAATTGAATGTTGGTTTCTGCCTTTGCATTTCGTCTGATTCCAGAGTGTGACCAGCAGTTCCATTTGGCACTGAAAACAAATAAAGGTTGACAGCAAGGTGCCAGTCACAGCAGTCTCTCAGATTTGATTTCCCATGTGCGTCTTGCAAGAAAGAGTCTGCATTTTACATTTCCTTCCACTCTGTTCTCGCATGTGTCTTTAACCAACTACCATACGACAAATCAGGTTGGTGCAATTTCAGGAGGGTTTATTCCTTGTCTACTGTCTGCAAGGTACTTATTGTAAGACTGATTATGCAGAGAGATGATGACTTCATTGAAATGGCTGTGCCATCTAGGTTACCGAATGTTCATTTTAGTTGGACAGACTAAGCAAGAGACCGTTAAGGCAACAAATCAATCAAAACGTCACAGGCAGGCTGGGTGTGGTGGTTCTCGCCTGTAATCCTGGCACTCTGGGAGGCAGAGGTGGTCAGATCGCTTGAGCTCAGGAGTTCAAGACCAGCCTGAGCAAGAGCCAGACCCTGTCTCTACTAAAAAAAAAATAGAAAGAATTAGCAAGACAACTAAAAAAAAATTATATAAAAAATTAGCGAGGCATGGTGGCGCATGCCTGCAGTCCCAGCTGCTTGGGAGGCTGAGGCAGGAGGATCGCTTGAGCCCAGGAGTTTGAGGTTGCTGTGGGCTAGGCTGATGCCATGACACTCTAGCCCCAGCAACAGAGTGAGACTCTGTCTCAAAAAATATATATATATTTCAAAGAACACTACCAGGGATAAAGAGGATCATTTCATAATGATAAAGAAGTTGATTCATCAAGAGGGCATAATAACCCTAAGTATTTATGCATCTAACAACAGAACTTCTAAATATCTGGGGATAAAACAATAAAACTGCAAGAAATAGACAAATCCACAGTTATAGTAAAAATTTTTAGTACCCCCTCTCTCAATAACAAGACTGAAAAACAGACAAGGCAAGGAAATTATCTAGCACTCTGGAATATAAAAAGGGCAAAGGAAGTTTTGCCTCATGAACCTGGTACATTTGAGCCTTGGTGTATTAGTTAAGGAACTCAAACACGTAGGCTACTGAATTGCAAATGAGTATTTATTATAATAGGAGGATATATGGAGTATCATGTTAGAAATACAGAATTCTCATTTTGATTTGATAATCAGAAAGTTTATACACTAATATAATACTAGAATATTTCTGTTCTACAATTGGAGGACAATTAGATAAGTAGAGGTAAAATGTATTCTCGGATGACAAAAATTATTAATATGGCAACATAATTTGAATTGTTATATAATGAAAGCATCTGAACTAGTTATTTCCCACTGCTTTTCTATATTAACAAATATATGATAATTAAAGTAGGAAACTTAAACTCATGCATTATTATTTAGCACTTAAATACGTCCAAATGTCTCTCGACAAATCCATATAACATTAATGTAAATTATACTAATGGGAGGTTAAATTGCTTTGATTATAAGTTCCACACACTATAATTTCCAATTCCACTAGGAAACTCGTTTCGTTATATTTGCTCTGATCAAATAAGCTTTACTTTCGTCTGTTTCCTTGACTCTGAAAACGAACATGGAATTCTTACGGACGTAAAACATTAACTCTTCCCATACTGTTTCTCGTTATAGCACATCTTTTAAAATGGTACTCACCTTTGGGAACGGCGCTGAGTTTATTTCTTTGCAGAACTAGCACCTTTAGGAACGGAAGCCCGTTTGTGAAGCTGCCTCTGGGGCTTCTCACCCATGAAGACTTAGGCCTGGGCAGATGCAATAAGACGGAGAGGATGGCATTGTTGCTGAGGTTTAATACCTCCAAAGTGCGCAAATAGGCGAGAGGCCTTAAGGTTATTTTCGATATGAGATTGTTACTGAGGTCCAGGTGTTTTCTTTTCCATTCTTTTCTCGTGTGAGACTGTAAGAGAACTCTAAAGAAACTGAGACTTCTATCCACTGTGGCTGCTGTCTGTGGTACGCCCACAGGTATATCATGCTTTCTGGTAAAAGAACAATTTGTCAGAAGATACTCACTCCACTGGCACTCAGAATTGAATGGAATGCTGCTTTTTCTTGATGGATTTGTCATCGTCCCAGTAAAATAAAGACCTATAACTATGGTGATAACTCTGAAACAGAAGATTTTCATAATGCCTGGAAGAAGGAAAACGAGTTGACTTATTCAAAATAACATGTAATAACTAAAGCAAATAAGAAGCAGAAAATTCAAGTTTCAATTTAAGATTTAGGAGAGTTATCTTGCCTTGATTGCCAGTTTTAGTGCATGAGTGATTTCTTAGAAATTGGGGCATTAAAAGGTAGCTGCCAAAACGGTATACCTATAGTATAAAATTAAAATTATGCCACGTTTTTGTTTTGTTTTTTTTTTTGAGGCAGAGTCTCGCTTTGTCGCCCAGGCTACAGTGAGTGCCGTGGCATCAGCCTAGCTCACAGCAACCTCCAACTCCTGGGCTCAAGCGATCCTCCTGCCTCAGCCTCCCGAGTAGCTGGGACTACAGGCATGCGCCACCATGCCCGGCTAATCCTACATATATTAGTTGGCCAATTAATTTCTTTCTATTTATAGTAGAGACGGAGTCTCGCTCTTGCTCAGGCTGGTCTCGAACTCCTGACCTCGAGCAATCCGCCCGCCTCGGCCTCCCAGAGTGCTAGGATTACAGGCGTGAGACAGCGTGTCCAGCCTTAAAATTATGCCACATTTTAAAGAAAGGACTCCTCTGATTTTCCAGACAATACATATTCACTTAGGCCTCACCTCTGCATTGGCTGCTGGTCCAGTATCGTTGACACTGTAGTCTGCTTCGGAGTGAGTGAAACCTTACCAAGGCTGAAGACTTCTCTGTTTCTTTGCTGGTCATTAGTACCGAACAAAGTCTACTATGCTTATCTATGACATTGTAATCAGCCATGTGGTTTATTACACAAACGATATCCAGTCACACTGAACTGTGAACCACCCATAGCTATGAATAGAAAGTTCAACTCACAAAAGAGACTCTTGATTTTTTTTTTTTACAGCCAGAACTATAAGCTTTGAGGCTTCTATGACTTTTCAAGTCTTTTTTATTTTTCATTTGCAAACTGATTTTTTATTTTTTGTGTGGTTTTCTTTTTCTTTTTTTTAATTTCAGCATATTATGGGGGGGGTACAGATTTTTAAGGTTTCAATAAATGCCCTTTCCCCCCTCCCCCCACAAGTCTGAGTTTCCAGCATGACCATCCCCCGGTCATTTTGAAATCATGTAGATATATATACCATGTAAAATGTGTTATAAAAAGGATGTTCTGCCTCAGAACCATGAAGATGTACTAAGATATAGAAATATCAAGTCTCTTTTTCACCAAAAATTCTTGAGATGCAACTGAAAGTTTTAAAAGAAGCATATGCAAATTACAGTGGCTGAATGTATCACAAAGATAAACTTAAAAGAAAAGTAAATGGGTAATTTTTGTGATTTGTTTTAATTAAACTAAATTCCTTTAAAAAAAAACCCAAGCATTGTACAAATAGTCACATTATTTAATATATAAGTTTACAACAAACTGTCCCTTCCTTTCTGTTCTGGTGGTATCCATTCTAGTTTTCATCACTGCAGTCTGAAATCCTTGAGTGGCTTAACTGCTCTTCCTGCCTCTGCCTCTTGACTTTCCTTCTTTTTGATTCATTCTAGGTGATTCCAAAGGATTATTTTCTCATAATCCTATTTTCCTCATATCATTCCTTCATTCAAAATCTTTAAGGGCTCCTTATCGCCTATAGCTCGGATCTCTCAGGTTGGCCTACAAAGCCTTATCTGGGGCTAAAATTATGACCTAGTATGATTAAGTGCTTGTGGACCAACTGCAAGATGTGGTTTGTGCAAAGAAGCATGCATGCATATCTCATGCTAAAGTTAGCTTTTAGTTCACTCCTAATTCTGAGCTCAAATGTCTTTTCCTTTTCTAAGCCCAAATTCTACATATCCTTCCAGATTTACCTCAAAGCCTATGGCCTGAGGTCCTTTTTTCCTGCTTTAGCCTCTGTTTTTGTCTTTATGTTTACAGAAATCTTTCAGTAAATGTTTACTGAATGAATAAATGCATGTTACTACCATTCACTTTGATAGACAGTCAATATTGTCTCGAATTGCTATTGCTTTACTTCGTGTCTGTTTTGAACTCCCGGAAGGGTACAAAATGTTTTATATTTTTAGTAGTCTGCAGTGTGTCACTGGGCTCTGTTCTGCTTGTGTGAATGAACCCATGAAGTGAATGAAATTCACAATGTAATTTTTAAACCTTTGTTTCCACACAAGGTCAATTCTCCCATATTTTGAAGGGCATCTAAACTCAGGTGCACGTGGCTATGAACTGCAAAGGTGCCCTACAGCTTGGGGGAGTGATTTATTTTTATAGCGTGCCTCTTATGCAATATCAGGAATTGAATTAATTTGCCCAGTCAGACAGATATTTCTACATTCCAAGCTGCAATCATTATATATGCAATTGTACAGCAAGCTAAGGTAACAATATCAGCAACAAAAAATATAATCACTGTCCACAGGGACATTACTTTGCAGTACTGAGGAGAAAGATGTGGTTGAAGAATACTTTTTCATAAAGACTTTTATTGCCTTGGTTCTTTTAAAGCTGAAGAGATTTATACACTAGCTAATAGATTTGAGTTCAAAACAGCTAGAGAAGGATAATCTTATATCTTAAAGTGAAAGCTATTAATTTGTAAAACAAAATTATTTATACTACATATAAATTTATATGTATTAGGTAGAGAACCACTGAGAACTCCAGAGAAACCACTGAGAACTCCAGAAAGTTGCTGGGGAAATTGGAAACAATTACAAAAACATAAATCTTTTTTTTTTTTTTTGAGACAGAGTCTCTCACTCTGTTGCCTGGGCTAGAGTGCCGTGGTGTCAGCCTGGCTCACAGCAACCTCAAACTCTTGGGCTCGAGCTACCCTACTGCCTCAGCCTCCCGAGTAGCTTGGACTACAGGCATGCGCCACCATGCCCGGCTAATTTTTTCTACATATTTTTAGTTGGCCAATTAATTTCTCTCTATTTTTAGTAGAGACGGGGTCTCACTCTTGCTCAGGCTGGTTTCGAACTCTTGAGCTTGAACGATCCTCCCACCTCGGCCTCCCAGAGTGCTAGGATTACAGGCGTTGAGCCACTGCGCCTGGCCCGAAAAACATAATAAATCTCTAAATAGACATAGTCAGGCTGAAGTATGAGGAAGCAGTTAGAAATACTAGGGGTGTGTGCATGTATGTGAAAGAGATAGGGAGAAAGCAGTAGGAAGAAACCAGGAATAGAAAGGAAACAAAGAGTTCATTCGTATATAAAAGAGAAGGTGGCAAAATTGAAAGAAAAAATTTTGCATGACAAGATGTGGAAAGTAACATTGCTTCTAAGACATACCTTAAGATCCTCGGTAGTTCTCAAATGGGTCTATATCTGGATCAAGCCAGGTGAGGATTTAAGACCTCAGCCTCTAGGCTCCACCCATCCTGTCGTCCCAGCTGCTCAGTGGCAAGCCTCAGTCACCCTTTCCTCTCCTGCCACGTGAGTGTGGGCATTCCCTGGGGCCCTGGGGAAGAGCCACTGACTGGAGAGAGGCCTTCTGCAATGCACAGAGGGTAGGCAGGACTTTCCAAACTGGGAACGTGGGACTTTCTAACCCTGAGTTCTAGCATTCCAGACAGATTACATAAATAACTGATACTGTTGCGTTTTCAAGCCATAATTGAATCCACCAAGTTTGCATGATTGAGTAGAAACCTGTTAATATATAACCATTAAAAAAGGAACAGCAAACAATTTATAGAATTTTTATTGTAAACAAAGGTCATTAATAGGTATTACACACTGAATTAACTGAAACTCAAGTTAGCTATCTGAAACAGATTTACAATTTTATTTTTATATGGCATTGTCTTTAATCTTTGCCCCCTCAACATGTTGAAAAAGATTACTAAATTTATCAGCATTTCAATGGTCTCTTCCTTGGCAAGTTTAGCACCGTAACATTCTCACCTCCTTAAAAAAACATTCATTCAAAACTAGGTAGAAATTCTACCTTGCACCATCAAAACTATCACACAAAATTTTGTTGTTTTTTTTTCACAATGCAAAAAGAATACAAATAAGTATATTTTAAAATATTTCAGACTATGCAAAGGCAGTCCTTGTTTTGTGTTGTTTTATGTTTTTCCTATAGCTGCCCATTAGATAGTCTCTAAAAAACCTTGCATTTATTTCATTTGTCCCCCTTGTCATTGCAACCTACTGCTAGAATACTGTGGTCATTTAAATAAGCATGCATCTGCACCCCCTCTCCGGGGTCCTATCTTTGTCAGTCACCTCCCCCAAAGCTACTACTCGCTTTATTGGTGCTCAGTGCAGAGATGAACACACAGCAGCAGGGAGAGGCAAAGTTAGCACTTCAGTTTATAGAAAAACGCCATCTGGTGGCGAGAATGAGTAGTTGATGCTTTCTGTTAATCAAAACAGGTCACAGGTAAAATGGATGGCTTTGATCTTGTTCTGTTTCCCAGGGAATCTTTCCGATTTACATTTCAGTGAAAAAGCAAGGACTACCTGTAAAGTATCCTAAAATGCTACATCTGTTAACAATCAGTTTTATAAAAACATGAAAATATCTTCTCATGTCAAAAGCACTTAATGGCGATGTATCAAAAACACAAGTACCTCTCAAAGAGGAGTAAAAATAGAGTATTTCCATGGATTAAATTCAATAAATAATACTTTGTAATATAGTGTTCTGTAGTTTTGGTAACAATATTTATTTAAAGAAACTTTCAAAACAAATCTAAATAGAATAGACAAGTAATGAATGTACAATTTAACAATAATATACTGAGCATCTGAATTAAAATTCCAGCGATTTTTTTCTGAATATCGTTCAGATATTAAATGATATTGAATATACTCAAATGGGTTCAAATATCACTACAACTATTCATAATAGCACTCTGAAGTTATAAATCTCACTTCTCATTTAAGAACTGCGCTCAGGGTTAGGTAGTCAGTCAGTCCTTATTTCAGTATAATTTAACGACTGCATGATCTCTAAGGTATTTGGTTTTTCTCTCAGAGAGAACTGCGACTATACTGAATACAAATTGTTCTTTTGGTTGATTGTCTTATCTACACAAAGTGACCCTGGCAGAAGGCGGTCACACTTGAACGCAGAGCCCGGGATACAGCTCTGTCGCCTATTTTACAGCAAACTACTTAGGGGTCCATGTCTCTTTCAAACCAAATATGAAATACAGGAAAAATCAACTGGCTCGAGGCTGTAAATAACTACAATGGGAGAGTGGTATCAGGAGCAAAGACGAACTCTTACACTTACTTAAAAAATCCCTCAGGACACCCCCTACGTTGGCACTCCCTGGCCCAGTGCTTCCCGACTGACTTTCCAGGCTTGCCACACGTCAAAAAGGGTCACGTTTGTGTGGCCTGCTGCACGAAACCCACCCGGCCGTTCCCGGCCTGCAGTTTGTCTGGGCCTGTGGCCTCCCCACTTTCCACTGTGTTGCCCCAGAGCTGTGGGTGTCAACATCTTGGCACCCCCTGTTTACCACGTGGGTGCCCCAGTGTGCCAACGCCCATCGGCTGGGAAACCGGGGTGACTCACAAGTAGGCCAATTTGACCTCTCTGTAGTATAAGATTTTGGTATTGGCTTAAGATGGTTTAAACTCTGACAGTGATTTTTTTTTTGTCTGACATGAGATTTATTTTTCTTTTAACTAGAGTAAGCATACTTGTTTTAATTCTTATCTTCTTAGGTAAGCTGAAATTAATCTTTGCTCATCTTTCTAGAGTTTTAAATAATTGAAAAGTCAATGCAGATAATGAAAAGAACATGGCATTTGGAATCAGGTACCATGAATTCATTCTAGGGTTCAGTCACAGCTGAATTCCAATCCCAATCTGCTACTTAACTATGGGATGTTGGACAAGTTTCTTAACTTTTCTGATGTCAGTTTCTTAATAGGTAAAACTGTAATAAGAACACCTACTTACAGGTGAGAATTAGAGATATTAAACATGCAACACCTAGGACAATGCCTAGGATGTATAATAAGGTGCTCAATAAATGAGAGCTATCATTATTACTTAAAAGTTAAAGCTGAGATTGTGTTTTAGTTTCTACCACATTGTGAACACTTATTATTTATCATCATTATTTCAAGTAAACATTCTATTCAGGATATTTTCTTCCTAATGCAAAACTAGGAAACCATAGTTTTGATCTCACATACGTAAAGTTGTTTAATGACTTCACTTGCTTGTGAAAATATGGCTCAAAGTGAAAGCACTAGAAATCGGTCTTTCCTGTTAGAAGCCAAGAGGCAGAGCACGAAGCACTGGGGGTGTACCTTTTAACATCTTAAGTGCATCTATGCCCACTAGAGTCACCAAAAGCTTGCTTACAGTGAATCTAAACAGCGCTTCAGCCCTTTATCCTTTAGAAAAGGAACAGTGGAAATTTAAAAACACTTATTTAAAAATTAATTTTGATTTTATTCACTTCTCACACTTGTTTTAGAGAACAGTAATCTGAAGATCAGTGCTACTTAATAAATGTGTTAAGATTGAGGCTCTCGGAACATTTTATTTTATTTTATTTTTTTGAGACAGAGTCTCACTCTGTTGCCTGGGCTAGCGTGCCATGGAGTCAGCCTAGCTCACAGCAACCCCAAACTCCTGGGCTCAAGCAATCCTCCTGCCTCAGCCTCCCGAGTAGCTGGGACTACAGGCATGCGCCACCATGCCCGGCTCATTTTTTCTATATATATTAGTTGGCCAATTAATTTTCTTTCTATTTATAGTAGAGACGGGGTCTCGCTCTTGCTCAGGCTGGTTTCCAACTCCTGGACCTCGAGCAATCCGCCCGCCTCGGCCTCCCAGAGTGCTAGGATGACAGGCGTGAGCCACCGCGCCGGGCCGGAACATTTTAAATACGGGGAGCCTACGTAACAGATACAGCAGTGCTCTGCAGTTCAAATAATTACAATGAGTTATTGCGAACTCTGTAAAAATAATGATTTCCATGCACACTCTTACAAAAAGGTCAAGATAGGAACATGTTGACGACCTCTGGGGTTCTTCTAATGCGTGTTCCCACAGGGGTTGTCGGATACCTGACAGCCCATGTTCTGGCCGGTGACTTGCACCTTGAAGAGCGTCCCGTCGGCACACACGCAGAGCTTGTAGCGCACCCAGTCCCCGGCGCCCAGCTGGTCTCCCCCGGAGGAACCGGGTAGCCGGGCGGTGCTGACCACCACAGTCCCATTTAGGATGATGCTGTTTTCCTGTTAGGAGAACAATCATATGCTTTACTTACCTCCAAGAATGAGTATACAACAAAGTCAAAAAAAAAAAAAAAAAAACTTAGTGGAATATTGGTAATAAAAAAAGGCAGTAAGAAAGAGTAAAGTCATGGGCAAAACAACAGCAAAAACAATCAACAAAACTGACACCAAGATTCGCCTAGTGATTCTTAGCTTATTTAACCCATAATGTATATCAACAAACTTGTAACACAATTCATCTCTCAATTATTAGTTAAAATTATATCAACATTCCTAAGTACACAATAAAGCTGATTTTCATAAAGTTACAGATCATTTTCATTTAAGTCTTAAGAGAATTATAACAAAGTTACTGATTGATAAGTTGATGATGAGAAGGAAAAGACTTTTTCTTCTAGAAGGAATTAATTTTAATTTCCAGTGTCTCTGTGACACAATAAATGAAGATTCAAACCATATAATTTTGAAGACCAGGCACTCGAAGCAGACTGGATGTTCTTTATTTCGAACCTGATGTTTTAGAAACATTCTTGTAGGTCCTTAAAAATCCTTTCTTTTTAGGGACTCCTAAGCCTCTCTTTCCCCTCGTCCCCCCTTCTTCCTTTCATTCACTCAACAAATAAGAATTAAGTGCCTCCTATGTGCCAGGCACTGTTGTAGGGGCTGAGGATACAGCAGTAAATAAAATAGGCAAAGTCCAAGTTCTCATCGAGTTGATACTTTAATGCGGTAGAGGCATTAAACAACTAAACAAGTAAAATAGGACATCGGATGGGATCGGTGCTACGAGGAAAAATAAAGCAGGGTCCGTAGAGAGAATCCAGGCAGGGATCCTGTGTCACACGGGAGGTCGGTGAGAGCGGATGAGGTGAGCTGTGCAGGTGGCTGGGGAAGGGCACTCCAAGAATGGCGCATGCAAAGGCCCCAAGGCAAAGATGTGCCTGGTATTCCAGGGACAGTTACGAGGCCGGTGGGGACAAAGCACAGAGGGTGAGGGGGAGAGGAGTACAGGAAATAACTAGGGACAAGACGTGTAAGGCCAGGCAATGGACTTCACATTTTATTCCAAATTAGATGGGAAGCCATTTGGAGGTTCGTGAATAGGGACGTGACGTGATCTTTTTGAAAGGATCGCTCTGGCTGCCGGGTAGAGAACTGACTGCAGGGGGACAGGACGGCAGCAGGAAGACCGGGCAGGAAGACGAGCAGCCCAGCAGTCCAGGCAGGGGGTGACGGCGGAACTGGTGAGAAGCTGCCGCACTCTGTGCAGCCTCCCAAGGTGGAGCCGGAAGTTTTGCTGATGAACGGATGGGTGTCAGTAGCAGAACAGGAACACAGAAGGAAATGCGTGTTTGCAGGGAAGGGAGGACATGGAGATTTTAAACTTACTAAGTTTGAGATACCTATCGGACACTGAAGTGGAGAAGGTAAGTAGGCAGTTGGATATGTGAATCTTAGTTCAAGGGAAAGGTTAAAACAGGAATTCCAAATGTTGGAGTTATCGGCTTATCGAGGGCATTTAAAGCAAAGAAAGGAAGTTGGTTACAAAGTAGTAGAAATGGCTGATTGTGTAGTGGTACTATATGGGATAAAAACACAGTACTTCTTAAGGGACCAGTTTGCAGATTTTGTTCCAATGCTGCCTGCCATCTTGTGCTCATTTAATTTCACTTTCTTTAAATTGTTTCCTAAGCGGCTTTTTGAAAAGAAAGCACTTTACTTGATAAAATTATTTATAAGGATTAGCTGATACACTTTAAAAACCAACCACTAATGTTAACTTAATTATAAAGCTAATTATCTTTTTAAAACTGGCTTCTTTTGCTTAACTTTGTATCAGTGGAATAACGGATATGTATGTTTCGAAGTACTTTAATATTTGTCACATTAACAAGGTGAAACGGGACAAGAATTTGCAAGGAGAGAAATTAAAGCATTCAGGTCAACTTGCTAGTGGTCTGTGTACAAATCTCTCACATCTCTTGCTTCTTTGACTTTCTAGTAGAGAGAAAAACAGTCCTTCTGTGGCCATCCTTCAATACAGCTAGCTCTCTTAGAAGAATGGTTTCCTATCACGATACACGTAAAACCTACTCTGTACTGTGACTGAGTCTCTGGCAAGAATTATATTCTATGTTAATCTTTATTTAGAGATGGGATTATGTGCTTTAGGGGGGAAAAGCTGTTTATGAATGTGAAACAACTAATTTTTTAAAGATTATTTTTTTAAGAACTGTGAAATTAAATTTTCTAGAAAAGGAATGAATTATATATATATAAGTCCTCAGGTTTAAGTTTATGTTTGTCATGTAATGCTTGGTAAGACAAATTTAATTAGCTTTAGTTCAACAGGATATTGTAGGTGCCCAAAGTAATTTTGAATAAATATGTTTGGACCAGAATTGTGAGCCAAAAAAAAAAAAATGTTTTTAGACTTATGGCTTCCTTACATGATATATGATACCTGTTAAAGTTCAGATAAAAGTTGCAAAGCACAAGAAAACTTCACTTTCAAAGCCACGATAAAGGCAAAAGTCTTTTTCCTTTATAATTAATAACAAATTAAAAATATATTCTTAATAAACATATCTAAATAAAATACATTTGCTAATAATTGCTTTTTTTCACATCGATGGATATAAAACTCAAGAAGGACTATGAAAATGTTTAATTAAAAACAACAACTTCAGGGCATATATACTTACTTTGATTTTCCAGAATTCTCTTTTAGAGGTTTTTTTTTTAGCCTTCTAAAAAATAATACAAGTGATCATTATACAAAAAAAAAAAAAATTTAGAAAATACGTGCTAACAGAAGTAAAAATAAAATGAAATCATGTTATCTGCTATCCATAGCTAAATATTGTTGACATTTTAACATATCCTTCCAGATTTTTATAAACATGCATATGTTCTGAAAAATAAAAATGATATATTTTGCAAATTATCTTGTAACTTACTTTCACAATCCATTTTGAAATTCTTTCCATGTCAAAAAATATACAACTACATCAGTTTGCATAATTGCGTGCTATTCCACATATGAATTTATGTATCTAAGAACCTAGGAATTCTCTTAAACTTAAAAAAAAAAAAAATACTCACAGCCTTAAACTCCATATTGCCACCCATGTGAAACTCGATGGTTTTGCCCATAATGAATACTCCTTCATTTCCGCGCACAATGGCACGCCCATCAACTTTTATATTTAAATCACTGGTAGCGTTGCTGGTAATCTGAAAATTAAAAAAAAAAAAGTACTGAAAATAAATTCTAAATTAATGTGAGAATTGTTATCAAAGAGAGAGAAATAGGAGTTTCCACCATGAGCTATGGAAGGCATGGTGTTTTCATTCAGGTTTTATAGAAGCAGAAATTGAGATAAAGAGAGATGACTTGACAATGGTCACGCAAGCTAGTTAATGACAGATCTAGAACTAATTCTTTCCAGTGTCCTGGAATATATTCTTTCATACCACTATGAAATAGTAAAACTCTCCTCCCACTTTATAGCTTTAGACAATAATGCTCTCCATTAGTAAAGCAAAGAAAATAGATCATACCCTTTCAGTGGATGCTTTTTGAACATTCAAACTTTTCACTCCACTTGGCAAATGAAACTCATGAGTTTCGTAGTCTGTGCTGAACAAGATATTTTGAGTTCTTGGGTCAAAAAACTGCATACCAATGTCACTTGTAATAGAGGTTTTGTTCTTTTCTACACTGAGTTTTGTTGTCCCTTGCTGAAAAACAATCTTCAGAAAAACACTTTATTGTGAATACATTTTCAAGGAATACTGCAACCAAAATTCATTAAGAACATCATAAAGAACGTTATAAAGCACTATTTTAAAAACTACAATAATAGACTAACTTCAACTACTTTGCTTTCAATTATTTCTTTGCTTGTACTGCTCTGCACAAATACATGGGTATTGGGGAACACAGTCCAAGGTCTGAGATGGGCAGTGGTAGTGGTGAGAATATCTCCTTGAGGTTTTATTCAGTTGAAAACCTGTGATATAGCAGCCTGTTGGCATGAGCTGCCACTGACTAGACTGGCATATTCTCTTCCAGATTTCCCCCCGAAATACAGGCTCTTCTAACCTGGGAAGGTGCTTCCTTAATGGCTTCCTTCTACGGACGAGAAAAGAGTAACCTATATATTCTCATATTAATCACATCTGTCACAGAAAATGCTACCACTGAACAAAATCCAGAATATTAAGAAAGCATCTAACTTTCATAGGTTATAAAACCAATAATATTATCAAACATTTAATATTTGTGAATGTATTTTAAAAATATTCATAAATATATTAATTTTCTCTAAAGGAAAAATATCTATTTCCAATAATCTACTCTAGGTTTTTGCATAGAGTTTTTCTCTAATGCCCCTCTCCATTCACACAATATTGCAGCTAAGGAGGGAACTTACGGGCTGGTTGTTGCCAGTGATTACCAAATTTTCATTCCGCCTTCCGCCTACTGTGCTCTTATAAAGAGGGTGTATAACTCCCATGTCAGATACTTGCTTAAATCGAAGCAGACCACTTTCGTGAAACTCCATGCTGTCACAGCCATTTGGTCCAATGCGAATCACAGCCCAGATCACAAGTGTTATCTGAAAAAGAACACAAACCCACTGTTAATAAGCTGCATACACTTAAGAGAATGGGAAAATAAATAGATAACATCATTGCCTAGTTACTAGGCCGGTGGGGACAAAGCACACAGGGTGAGGGGGAGAGGAGTACAGGAAATAACTAGGGACAAGACGTGTAAGGCCTAGTAACATTAAAAACCTCCTAAAACGTTTAATCAGTGAGATGAACATATCAGTTGGTTTTCCACCTATAAACAAAACCAGTTTTATTTTCCTCAAGGTATTACATGCAAATAGCTAAAAGCCAAAATACGCTAAAAGGTCTATTATGAAAAAAGGACAGTCTCTTATTTCTTCTACTCTCTCCATATCTCGTTCCCAGGGACAACAACTTTCAACAATTTTAGCTATTTTGTCTAGAATTTATCACCATATTTCCAAGTAATATACTTATACTATCATTCCTTCATTCGCCAATTTTAGGTTTTATTTGCTAATTTCCTATTTTAGCAGTAAGAATTAGCAGGTAATTAGCAGGTAAGAATTTTAGTTCATTTATACCTCTTTTCTCTCCCAACTCCAATCTCAAGTTTTGGTTAAATTCATGTTCAATATCTTCAGTATTAGGACCATGTAAATATTGTTCACTGCTAAACCGAATACTGTATTATGATGGCCAAATACTGTATCATTTCCTGTACTTTGTCTCTCTCTGAGTTTAATAATTTTTTTTTTTCAATTTGCTTAGTTTCTTCGAAAATCTAACTAAATCTCAAATCCTCCAACACTTCTGTAAAATCTCTCAATAAAATGTTCTATGAGTCCCAACCTCAAGCAGAAAGAGCCCTCTCTGGTCCAGTGTGTGAAGAGACTCTGGTTTTGTGTGGGGTAGGAGACGTGGTTGTCTAAACGGCTGGCTGGAAGGGATATCACTGCTCCTTATATAGGTTTTTCAAACAAGTTCTCTGTTTTTGGTTCCTGCCTCACTCTTGCTTTTCAAGATATTCCTGAGGCTTTTTAGGATCTGGCAACTCACTCTCCAACACACACACACACAAGCAGTTTCTTCTTGTGATAAGTTATTTGCCATTCTTCCTCCTAGTTTTTGTCTTCGTGTATTATGGTTTAGGATTTCAGTTGCTTCCTATTTTCTTCAATGATATTTCTGTTTATTGACATTGTCACTTTGGGATGAGCTTTTTAGACAAGAGGATAAAAATGTCCCTGTTCTTCCATCTTGACCAGGTGTCTCCAATAGAATAAATTATAAGATAAAATATACTCAGAATCTTTGCTCTAAGTAAAGCTACCTACTATGAAATATATAATATCAGCTCTTTTTGATTTAAGTGGATAAGTAGACACAAACGCTTTGCATGTACATAAAATACAAAAGCACTGGCTTGAGGGCATTAGAAGTAGAAAATAAAAAAGAATCACTTTAAAACTGCTGCAGATCATGTTCATGATCAATTTTGGGTGTACCAATTATCACTTTCTCTGAAAATACCTGTCTACACACATGCCAGAGTATTTTAAATTCAACCCTCAGATAGTTACAACCTCAAATTAAAAGGGCTTCTTCTTTAAAAAAGCAAATACTAATATCTTTGGAAAAGGCAACTTATCAAGTCCTCAGCACTTTTGTGTGAACCAGCTTGCATTCCTTGAAAACTGGGATTCAGGACTACAAGATACAGCCATTTATTGCCATCAAAGGGTTTATAATTTTAAAATCTTTTTTTTTTTTTTTGAGACAATCTTGCTTTGTTGCCCAGGTTAGAGTGAGTGCCGTAGCGTTAGCCTAGCTCACAGCAACCCCAAACTCCTGGGCTCAATCAATCCTCCTGCCTCAGCCTCCCAAGCAGCTGGGACTACAGGCATGCGCCACCAGGCCCTGCTAAGTTTTTCTATATATATTAGCGGGCCAATTAATTTCTTTCTATTTATAGTAGAGACGTGGTCTCGCTCTTGCTCAGGCTGGTTTTGAATTCCTGACCTTGAGCAATCTGCCTGCCTCAACTCCCAGAGTGCTAGGACTACAGGCGTGAAGTCACCTCGCCCGGCCATACTTTTAAAATCTAGCTGAGGAGGCCACACTACAAATGTAGAGAAAGTTAAATGAAAACAAAAGATTTTACTTTTTGGGAGAGGGGAAAGCAATAAAATCATCTTGGCAAAGTTCTCTTCAAATTGAGTTGATTCTACCCTTTTTAAGAGGCTCATGCTCTATTAACTGAGCTAGTGGGAGACTCACAACTCTACCCCTCTTAAAAGCTAAGTCCATTAAAGGGAAGAATCCATGAACAATTGTTTCAAAATGAAATTAATATATGCAAATATTAGCATATTAGGTTTTAAATATATATTCATTAAAACTCAGTAAGAGAGAAAACATGTACAGAAAAGCAGAAAATAAGACTGTCTCAAAAGAAATTACAGAAATAAAATCCATGATTTCACAGGAAAACAATGAAAAATGCCCCCGTGGTAATTAAAGAGTATTCTGTACTGTATACTCACAATTAAATTAATGACAGCTAGGATAAATAAGAGGATAATCACGCAGATGGCCAAATTGCCCTTTCTTCCTCTCAATCCCGTTTTATGGAGCCGATCTTCATCAATTGGAATGTATCCGGCTTTAAAGTTACTGTTGTGCTCTTTGTTAACATTCCTCCTCTCAACAGCCTTCTCACGCATGGACTTCTTTACTGGACCATTGGAACTTTGCTAAAGACAAAACACAACGTAATGGAACAAGCGTGCCCTCCTCTTTTTGATGCATTTATTTATTAAGCGCAAATTCATAACTAAAGAAAGCCGAACTGGTTCCTGATATATTTTCCACTAATAACCTGCAAGTCACATTGAATTGCAGGCTTCCAGTAAGGACATGACTGTGCTTATAGAGTTACTATAGATAGAATCTTTAGTGCAACTAACTGGTAACATATTTTCCCTCTCTGTTTTCAATAATTCTACTGTCAGTAAAGTGTACAGCTCACTTCTGGGCAGTATAATCATATATATCCTACAGTAGGCAATTTTGGTTTTATTAGTAATTAACCAATTTGTTTACTCTCCATATCTGTGGGTTCTGCATCCATGCATTCAACCACTGCTGACTGAAAATATTTGGGAAAAAAAAATGCATGACTGCCTCTGTACTCATCACGTACAGACTTTTTCCTCTTGTCATTATTCCCTAAATGCAGTGTGACAACTGTTTACATAGCATTTATGTTGTATTAGGTTATTATAAGTAATTTAGAGATGATTTAAAGTACGGAAAGATGTGAGCAGGTTATATACAAATACTATACCATTTTATATAAAGGACTTGAACATCTGTGGATCTTCATATTTGTGGGGGGTGGGTCCTAGAACCGATCTCCCATAGATACTGAGGGACAACTGTGTGTGTTTGTGTGTGCGTGTGTGTGTGTGTGTGTGTGTATTCATTTACATGAAAAGAGCTTGGAAAGCTTGCCACAGTTTGTTACTTATAACTCCACTGACTGACTAAAGCTAACATTATTCTAGAACAGCACTTTTTAAAGTATGGGGTAGGAAGTCCTGAGACAGTTCCCCAAACCTCTACCTCTTCTGGGGTGTGTATTTTAAAAATAACACTAAGATGTCACTTTACTTTTTTCACTCTCCTAGTCTCATGAATGTACTGGCTGTGTGCAGTGACATCATCACTCAGTTTCTGGGCAGGTTAACCAAGTGAACGGATGGTTGAAACCCTCTTAATAGTGACTATGACATAGTCCAATTCTGAAAAGTTATGGAAAATTCAGTTAAATTCAGGGCTGGAGACATAAAAGCATAAATTTGAAGCGGAGATTGAGGAATGGATTACATTGCCCAGATTTTGTGTAAAGCAAAAACAGAACTTCAAGAGTATCAATAGGTATGCTATAGGTGGAAAAAGAATCATCTAAAACAGAAGCTGATAAAATAGGAGAGAACTCCCGAAGGCTGAGGAATGATTTTAATCTCAACAACTCCAAGCCTTTCCGTTTCACTTGTCCCTTTAGATTTTATTTTACTGTTACAAATCTGCAGCTTGTCTATTGTCTTTAGCTGATTTTTCTGCATTTATCTGGCTGTTTGACTTTAAGCTCCTTGAAGGCAGATTATTCACCTCTTTTTTTTAATGCCCTCTGGCGACATAGATCTAATAGGTCTCTAACAGTTAAAATTACCTAAGAAAATCTTTCCTTCCAAAGTTCAAACAGAACGTTCACAACTTTACTAATTTTTTTCAATAATGTTGAAGAATGAGACTTTTCAAGAGAAACTATCACATCATAGTTTTTTCAAGGAAAAAAAACAGTAAAAGGAGAAAAAGTGGCTGTGAAAATCATTTTTATTATAATACATCACCCTAACAATTGTATACATATGTGTAAACATATACTTACACACATATGCATCTACATGCGCCTGATTTGGGGGAGAAAAAGCCTTTTCAACCATTCTAAGTTCCAAGTTGACAAGGCAGGTTTGGGAAGCACCAGATTTATACCGGGGACTGAATCTCCAAAACCCGAAGTGGGAGCGGGAGACCTGGGGCGTCTGCGTATCGGGGATGGCAGAAACAAGGAGTGGCCGCAAGCTGACACCCTGACAACAGCTGACCATTTCTTGGCTGGGGTCAGGGCAGCCTCCCGGCCGGGGCCGAGGTTATTTTTATCTGCATCTTCGCTGGCAGCCGAGCAGGGCACGTCCCAGCGCAGGCTCCGGGCTGGCACGGCCGCCTCCCAGCCCCTCTGGGCGGAGACCCCTGCTCCCCTGGCCGAGGGACAGCCTAGCCAGGCAGAGCCGCGGCTGGGTCCCCCTCTCGGGCCGGGGAGCTCCCGCCTTGGGGGTCCAACCTCCGCCAGCATCCTCGGTTGCGGACAGCTCCTCCCGCCCCGCCCCGCGGAGCCCGGCCTCCTCCGGCCCTCGCGCCCCGGGCCCTGCCGGCCGGCCAACCCCACCGCGGCCCCACCAGCGGGACCCGGCCTCCCCCGCTCCTCCAGCCTCAGGCTGTGGCGGGGCTCACAGACCTGCTCGGTCGCCGCCGCCGCCGCTGCCGCCATCTTCCCAAGCCCGCCGCCGCCGCGCGCGCTGCGCATGCGCCCTGGCGGGGACCGGTGCGCCGCGCTCACCCGTCCGGCGCCGCCGCGCGCCTCCGGGGGAGGGAGGTTCCGAGCGCGCAGGGTGTGCACCAGGGACTGTGGCCTCGGGGCGCGTTTGATCAGAACCCCGGAAAGGGCCTGATGGGGGTTCCTTGTCCCGAAAGGGCGCCCTCAGAAACAGAGGACGCCTGTCGCCTTCCCCTGCCTGCCTTCCCGGTCGCGAGGGCTGGGGCCTTGCAGAGCGGGAAGGGGCGACATCCAGGGTACACGTGCAGGACGGCCGGGTGGCGGCGACGTGGACGGAGCTAGCAAGTGCCAAGTTGGCGACTAAAGTCTTGACAGCCGAGAGCCCTCAGGGAGGATGTTGAATCACTCCAGGGCTGCTTCATGCCTGGAGGACCTATGAAGTCTGACGTTTTTTCCCTTTGGTATTGGGGGTGGATTTTTGCCTTTACTATTTGGGGACAACGTTGATGATACATATGGGAACGTGATTTAACAGGCATTTAGTGCACACCAGGAAGCACCCAAATGCACAAGGAACTTCAGTACACACTCCTCGTCCTACCCTGTTGTCGATGAAATCCAGTTATCCTTTTAGCTGAAAAAAAAAAAATGCAGTGAATTCAGCAGCAACCAAGGTGCAAGAACTGTTCCTTGGGGTAGCTGGATCACTTCTAGCTAGCACCTTTGGGCCCTGGGGCCACCTAGCTCAGCAGGAAGCACCAAAGAGACCCGCTGGTGAGGGTTCCTTTCTCTAGAACTAGGTCAGTTTTGCTTTTTGATGACCTGAGTGGTTATTTCGCTGTTCTGCCTACTTGCTTTCCATCAGAGGATGTCTATGAAGTTTAAATTAGATAACCTGTCACATAGGAGATCTCTCGTCATCTTTTCCCTTCTCTTCCCTGACTTTAGCTAATGTCAGTACCTAGCTGGTCATCATCTCTCTCCGCATTTCTTTTTTTTTCCCCAAATGCTGGAACCACTGGACTCACATCTTTAGGCTCATTCCTCTCTCAGTCTCTAGGACAAACCTGCATCTTAGGCGGGAAAACTATAAGTTGTAGCCCAATGCTGTGGGAGTCAGCAGTAAGTTTCTGCTGAGAGTCTGTCTCTGGTCCAGTTTCTCAAATCAGATAACTGGGCTTTTGACTGATGCTGAGTTCCTATGTCCAGATCTGGTAATGTAGCCCTTCTTTCCCACGCTTTGCCTCTTTTTCCTCTGCTGGGGAAGTCCTCTTTTTCTCTGGCAAGCACCCTCTTACTCATCCTCCAAGAATATTCAAATGTTCCATCTTCTATAAAGGCTTTAGAGATCCCCACAAATCTGTCCCTAACCTCTGCTTCTAACCTTTTGTAGCACTTCAGATTGCATTGTATTTCATCTTGTCTACTGGCTTGCTTAATCTAAAAGATGGTGTGTTCTATCTGGTAGGTAGATGTCTTACTCAAACTTTTATCTCCAATATCTAGCCCAATAATGAAACTTAATAAATCTGCCTGATAGCCCAGTTTCTAAGCACAGAATTCCTGCCTCGATTTTGCCAACATCTCTCCCACTTAGGTGGGTGACATATCTGATCACTGATTTTCCTGGAACCAAATACCCCTTTGGCTATCTGAAAATCAGCTGACAGCTACCAGAAGCTAAAAGAAAGGCATGGAACAGATTTTCTCTTAGAACCTCCAGAAGGAACCAGTCCTGCTTTTTGAATTCTAGCCTCCAGAACTGTAGGAGAGTCTCGTGCTATCCCATATCTCTCTTCTGAGGTGCTTAAGGGTACGTTGGCCATACTCACTGTACCAACGTAATGGCTATTGGCTCCACCAATGGCTATTTTCACAGAACTATGGTTTTGCCATTGCATTTAGTTAGCAGAGCTGAACAGACTGAGGGCAAGGGTGCCTTCGTTTTTGAACAAACTATGATAGAAACCTGGGTTGGGATAGGAGGAATAGTTTGTGGCCCTCCAAAATCACACTATGTCTACCTTCTTGTTGTTGTTGTTGTTTTTCCCTTCTAATCTGTATTTGTTGCAAATGTTCTATAGTTTATTTAGGTGCTAAGGTGATAAGTTGTGATGTATTAATATTTTCCTCTTGTTTTGTACTTTAATCAATAGTGGGCATGAGATAACTGTCCCCCCAAAATCCTGAAGTAGTGCTCTGAGTTCATTGGTATGACACAGGAAATGGGTCTGTGCTTCTGCCCAGCTGAAAGCACAAAATATCCCAAGATCCCAACCAATTTTTTTCTCTCCAATGGGTGTTTTTAAAAAATCTTTTCCTTTCACTCAATAGGGCAGAGAACAAAATGAAGCTGCTGAATGGAGAACATAGAGCACTCAGGTTAGAGAACACTTAAGTATACAAAGAAGTGTTTTGTTACCTGCAAGAACAAAGTACCTCGGAGTACACAAGGCCTTGGCAACATCACTGATAAACACTGGAAAGGCAACTTAATGCAAGCAGGACAGCAAAAGCTGAAAGATTTTCTTTAAATAGTAATACAAGCCCTCATTCAAGGAAACAAGATCCCAACACAGACTGCAGTAAGACAAGAATAGCATGGCACACCCAGGAGTGGATGAGGGGTGCTTGGAAAAATATTCGAGCCAGAACACAGACTATTCTTATGGCCACACTAGCGAAGGATTTGCAACTGTCCATAGTGAGGAAGACTGGAAATGAAGATGAGCATCCCACTGTATATCTTTGTAGCTTATTGCATATATTTATGTTTGGTGTAGCACGAACTTCATACACACAGCTCTCACTTCACTGAGTGGATTCAGTTAATCTTTTGTTGGCTTCTTAAAATCCCAAATTAAAAATTTCCCCAGCTGATGGACACAGGTAAAATTCAAAGTAGACAAAATTGAGGACTTTCAAAAAGCTGTTCCATCTAGATGTTTGGCACGTTACACTTCAGAACAAATGGCTCCTGGCTGGGTAGTAGAATTATGACACCATAAAAACAACCAACTGGCTGTTGAATTTTCTGCCTTCCGCCTCAAGGGGATTATGACATCAGATATAAAGCAGCCAGTCATGCCCTTTCCTTTCCTTCCTTCCTTACTCCTTCCCTTCTCTTCTTTCCTTTCTTTCCTTCCTTTCTTCCTTCTTCTTTCCTTTCCTTTCCTCCTTTCTTTCTCTTTCCTTTCCTTTTCCTTGTCTTTTCTTTCTATACCTATTCAGCTTTTCTTTCCTTTCTTTCATTCTTTCTCCTTCCCTTCCTTCCCTTCTTCTTCCTTCCTTCTTCTCCTTCTTCCCTTCCTTCTTCCTTCCCTTTCACTTTCTTCTCTAACACTAAATACTTTCTCTTTCCTTTCCTTTTCCTTTCCTTTCTTTTTCCTTCCCTTCTCTTTCCTTTCTTTCTTTCCTTTTCTTTCTCTTCCTTCTTCCTTCTCTTCTTTCTTCCTCATTTCAAATACTTTCTTCCTCTTATCTTTTCCTTCTTCCTTTCTTCTCTTTCTTCCTTCCTTTCCTTTCCTTTTCTTTCCTTTCATTTCCTTTCCTTTCTTTCTTCTCCTTTCCTTTCCTTTCCTTTCCTTTCCTTTCCTTCCTTTCCTTCCTCCTTTCCCTTTCTTCTTCCTTCCTCCTTCCTTCTTCCTTCCTTCCTTCTTCCTCTTTCCTTCTTTCCCTTTCCTTTCCTTCTTCTTCCTTCCTTTCTTTCTTTCATTTCCTTTTTCTCTTCCTTTCTTTTCTTTCCTTCCTTCTCTTTCCTTCTTTCTCTTCTTCCTTTCCTTTCTCTTTTCCTTCCTCCCCACTCCTTTCTTTCTTTCTCATGTCCTGTTGTTGTGCTGGGGACATAAAACTAAATAAACCTCTCTCCTTTCCCTGAAGAAGCTCACAAGCTTATATAGGAAGCAAATAAATATAATACAGTGTGATAATTTTAACAATATGAGCAGGTCCAGAAGTTAAAGAGAGAAAACATAAAGGAGAGAGCGATGTGCTCTGAGGTCTTGCGGCTGGGGTGGGGGTGGTGGGGGTTGGGGTGTTAGAAAAGGTTTGTCGGTTTGAGCTGGGTTCAAATTTATCAAAAGTGCAACTGTAGAGAAATTCCTTGTTTATTTACTGGGAGTTAGAAATAGTTGTTATTCCAGCCAGCATGCAGAATAAATGGCAAAAAAAGGGCTCGACTTTTGGCGATTGGCTAATGCTTTCAGAATTAAGATTTGACCCAAACTGAACTGTGTACCATAAATTGGAATAAAAGGCGAGATTTGCTCAATCCTGAACCTAACCAGTATGGGAGATAAAACAGCATGAAAGGCCAGGCGCGGTGGTTCAACCTGTAATCCTAGCACTCTGGGAGGCTGAGGCGGGAGGATTGCTCAAGGTCAGGAGTTCGAAACCAGCCTGAGCAAGAGTGAGACCCCCCATCTCTACTATAAAATAGAAAGAAATTAATTGGCCAACTAATATATATAGAAAAAAAATTAGCTAGGTATGGTGGTGCATGCCTGTAGTCCCAGCTACTCCGGAGGCTGAGGCAGCAGGATCGCTTGAGCCCAGGAGTTTGAGGTTGCTGTGAGCTAGGCTAACACCATGGCACTCACTCTAGCCCGGGCAACAGAGTGAGACTCTGTCTCAAAAAAAAAAAAAAAAAAAAAGCAGCATGAAAGACTGTCAACTGCAGGCTTTCTTAGTGTTCATCTAATCCACGCTCTTCATTTTATAGATGGAAAAAAATGTGGCTCAGAGTGATTAAAGACTTACATAAAGTCACGAGAATTCACTAATGGCAAAAGGTGAGATAAAGCAACAATGTCCACGTACCATGTTTATTGTTTTTTGAACTTCTCCAAAAATTGCCTAGTTGATAATGTCTTAAACTAATTCAATTGGGACAAAATTTGAGCACCAAAATATTCCCAAATAGAATCTTTAATTATCTGACATTTTCTTTCACATGCAAAGAAAAAAAAGCAGGGTTATCAGCTTTATAAAATAAAATATCAACCATGTTGACTGCATGCTTGTAATTTAAAGTCCAGGGACTCTGTAATCAGCAAGGTAAACTACGTGCACTCCAGGCTCTTACTCTCTCTCTCTTTTTTTTTTTATTTCGGCATATTATGGGGGTACAGATTTTAAGGTTTCAATAAATGCCCATTTCCCCCCTCCCCCCAAAAGTCTGAGTCTCCATCATGACCATCCCCCGGATGGTGCACATCTCACTTATTATGTATGTATATACCCGAACCCCTCCCCCCTGCCCATCTTACTCTCTTTTTTTTTTTTTTTTTTTTGAGACAGAGTCTCGCTTTGTTGTCCAGGCTAGAGTGAGTGCCGTGGCGTCAGCCTCGCTCACAGCAACCTCAAACTCCTGGGCTCGAGCGATCCTTCTGCCTCAGCCTCCCGAGTAGCTGGGACTACAGGCATGCGCCACCATGCCCGGCTAATTTTTTATATATATATCAGTTGGCCAATTAATTTCTTTCTATTTTATAGTAGAGACGGGGTCTCGCTCTTGCTCAGGCTGGTTTCGAACTCCTGACCTTGAGCAATCCACCCGCCTCGGCCTCCCAAGAGCTAGGATTACAGGCGTGAGCCACAGCGCCCGGCCTCCATCTTACTCTCTTAAACTGCTATTCAGTACCCATCAAAAGCTCTGCAGAGGGGACCATTATTAAGGTCCCCACTTATGAAGATATCCACTTATTCCTATAGGTATGGAAGTTCTACGGTGGCTCACGCCTGTAATCCTAGCACTCTGGGAAGCGGAGGCAGGAGGATTGCTCCAGGTCAGGAGTTCAAAACCAGCCTGAGCAAGAGTGAGACGTGTCTCTACTATAATAGAAATAAATTAATTGGCCAACTAATATATAGAGAAAAAAAATTAGCTGGGCATGGTGGCGCATGCCTGTAGTCCCAACTACTTGGGAGGCTGAAGCAGAATGATTGCTTGAGCCCAGGAGTTTGAGGTTGCTGTGAGCTAGGCTGACACCATGGCACTCACTCTAGCCTGGGCAATAAAACGAGACTCTGTTTAAAAAAAAAAAAAAAGAAAAAGAAAACAATCATATCAAGATTGTTTCTATATTTTCTAAAAAAAAAAAAAAAAGGTTATTAGGGACCTTTCATCTATGTAGGTTGTTCTATACTCTTTGAAAAAGGATAAACATATTTTAGAATTGGTACCAGGAAAATGTGTTTCCATTATAAAATCTGGTATTTGTACTTGAGAAATCAAATAATCATAATCATAAAACTCATTTTCCTTTCTTCTTTGGCTTCCTCTAAGTGCAGAAACAAATGTAAAATGAGGCTCAATCTTAGTTCATAGGCATAAATTTGGGCATATTTGCTTTTTCCCTTAAAAATATTTCTAATCTAACAATGTTATTTTCTTCGAGTCTTTTATTATAAGCCATCTTAGATACTTTTTTGGAAGTAATGGGGGATAAATAATAAATACATGAAACATTTGCTTTGTTCGGAGTCATTGAGTGGAAGATCTATGCTTTTTTGTTGTCAATAAACACAAGTTCCTGCTATGCACAACACTTCCTCCTGAACCAAGCTGTACATGAAATGACTACAGGCCTATGGGTCTTGACTCTAGTTGTGGGGCTAGAGCATATGTAGAGATAAATAATATCAGGTAGCATATTCTAAGGTGATTTCAAAGGTCCATTCTATCCTAAGACTCTATAAGTCTCATTATTAAATTAGTATGGACATTTAGCCAAAGCATATTCTGTTTTGAGTCAGCAGCTTAAATATTGATATTTTGGCTAACTTGTTTTTGAGGATGGTAAAGTTTCTGGGGAACTACTTTTAGTAACGTTTTTCTCTATAAATTCTTATGAAACAATTCATGCTCATGGTAGAAGTTTGGAAAATCAGAAAAGTATAAACGAGCAATTAAAATCACCCATAATCATACCTTGAGTTCACATTGTATAATTTAACACTATATATAATTTATTATTCTGCTTTTCCCCCCTTAACATTATATAATGAAAATTTCTAGATACTAGGTATTCTTCAATAACAAGATTTTTATTGTACAACATTTCATTGAATGATTTGCTCAACCATTACCCTATTGGAAATTTAGATTGTTTCCAACCTAGTTTTATTTATTAAGTACTGTCACCTACATTCCTAATAATAATGATCATAGATTTATAGAGCACTTACTATAGCATATGCCAAACATTGATCATCTGACATAAGCAAATGTTCCAATTTATTTTTTATATAAATAAGTAAATAGGACTCTTCAAAGATTCCAATCGTCTATGAAATATGCAATGATTAGCTCCAAATTAAGAAAACTGAGGTTTTTCTCAATTCTCTTCCTTCTTCCATATATATATATATAATTTTTTAAAAGGAAGATGTCTAATGAATATTTAGTTATTCTCTTTCCCCCCCTTAACATTAGTAATTATTATTCTACTCTAATAAAATAGCATGTTGCACCCTTGTAGTCCTTATTTTGTGGTCCACAGAAAATAGCAGGAACACAGGCTCCAGAAATGAGCCTTTCATGTTCATTGGCAGACAGTAAAACCATTGTAATGAAGAGAAATAAAAACAAGAGGTGGTGAAAATGCTTAATTTTACAATACTTGGATACGTGCACCGTCCATGGATTTACAAGTACCTAAAGAAAGGCAACTGAGTTAAGCTAGCCTAGCTAGCTGAGTCCCTGCTCCATCCCCTCTGTTCTAATGAATAGATGAGAATGATTTTTTTGCTAGTGTGTGAAACAAGGGCTTGCTTCTAAAAAGTGCTTAACGAAGGCTGAAACGGTCCATTTCTTAAGCAGCTCACAGCATCACCGTAAATGACGGCACAGTACACTTTTGCAACAAGCCCAGGTCTGAACTTTTCACAAAGTCCCAATTAAGAGAATTCGGGATTAAATGAAGCTTGATAGCGCCTGATGACTCTTAAAAAAAAAAACAAAAAAACATACTAAAATACAGACTGCTGCATCACCCTAAAAAGGGGTGAATAATGTACATGGATTAGAGTCTGCTAATTCTAAAATCCCGCACGCCTGAGGGATTAACTTTAATGTGTGAACATCCAGGGGCCAAAAACCCACTGACTTGGGCCACCCAGCCCAGCGGGTCAAGGAACAAGGCGAAAGCCAGAAGACGTAGGGAAGCATTGGAGCTTTAGTGACAGCGAGCCGCACGCGGGTGAACCCCGCGTCGCGACCAAGCATTAAAAAGGAGCGGGAGGTGAAAGAATAAAGGCGAGGGGGGCAAAGAGGTGATTTCCCGAGAGACAGAGCTTAGCCCCGCAGCACGTCTGTGGGGAGCCAACTTTTTTGCTTTTTCTGCACGTGCGAGGTCACCCGGGTGTGCCCCCAAGCCCGCGCCGCGACCCGCGTCCCCGCACCGGGGGGCGGCGGCGCGGTCATCGGGAGTCCTGGCGCTCTCCAGCCCCGGCCGGGGCCCGCGTGGCCGTGGCTCTGGCGCCCTCGCCTTCGGCCACCAGCAGCAGGAGCAGCAGCAGGAGCAGCAGGAGCAGCAGCAGCAGCGGCAGCGGCGGCGCGGCGGCGGCGGCGGCCACATGGAGCGGCCTGGCGGGCGGCGCGGGCTGGGCGGACGCGCGGGCCGGGCGGGGCGGCGCCGCGTTGCCAAGGCGCGGGCCGGGCGCGTCCCTGGCAGCGGGCCCGCCACGTCAAGGTTTGTTCAATAATCGCCGGGGTATTTATGGCCCGGGCCGGGGCCGGCGGCCGGGGAGCCACAGCAAGACCGCGCCGGGCGGCGGCTGAGGTGCGGCGGCTGCGGCCCAGGGCACCTCCCCGCGGCTTCCCGCACCCGGCCCGGCCCGACCCGGGCGGGAGGACGATGGCAACACCAGCCGCGCTCTGAGCCCCTCGGGAGGAGAACACCCTTCCCGCCACAGCGGCCGCTCCCGGTCCCCTCCGGCCCCCTCAGCGGGGCCGCGCGGAACAGCGAGCATGGCGGACAACCTGAGGAGACTGGTGTCGAGCGAGTGCGTGCGCACGCTGCAGGAGAAGCTGTGCTGCTGGCTGGAGGAGTACAACGTGAGTCCGGGGGTGGGGGGACGCCCCGGGGGTCCCCCTCGGGTCCCCGCACGGCCACCCTCGGCGACGCTTCCTCAGGGCCGCCCGCGGGCGCCACTCCTGACGGGGACCCCGGGGGAGGAAGGGCCCGCGTCGGACGCGGAGAGGCCTAGCCAAGCGCGGTAACCAAGGACGCCGGCGGCCCTAGCGACGGGACATCCCCGCGGTCCCCGCCGTCGCCGTCGTCGAGTTCGGTCCCGCGTTCCCCATCCCCCTCGCCGGCGCGACCCGCGAGAGGCGCCTGCCCCCATTTGGTGTCCTTCTTTTCCACGTCACCCCTGCTCCTGCCTTCCCGCCAGCCTCCCACCCTGAGGCCACCCCGGGGGTTTTATCTGAAAAAACGGGGTGTGGATGGACATCCCCTCCCCCGCCCCTCCCCCAGAGTCATCACCCAGAAGTCACAGAGACGTCGCCTGTCAGCGTGGCTCGCTTCGCCCGCGCGCTGGGCCGCGTGACAATGAAGGGACACCGAGGCCGAGGGGCGTTTGTTGGCCAGGCCTTTGTAAGAAGCCAGGCTTCTGTCGTCAAACCCGTAAACACTCTTCCAGTCGCGTTAATCCCTGCCGCCACCCCCCTCCAAGTGGAACCCCAGTTTGGAATTTGCTTCGAATTCGGTCATTCCGCCTTAAATACGAGTGTCCCCCTGTCACACAGCAAGTGGAACTGGCTGTGAATTGGAGTTAGCTCCCCCAGGTCCTGGGTCTGGCGCTGCGTTGAGCTGGCCGAATGATGGGGACAACTCATTTAACCTCTTTGGGTCCCAGCATCTCATCTGTTAAATAAGAGAGACCAGGCCAGACGATGTGTCAAGTTCCTTTTTAGGATTTCAATTTTTTTTTTTTTTTTTGACTCTAGATGGGCTTGTTTCTGAGCTCCTACCTGTCCCGGGTCCCTTGGGCTTCCATTTCTACCATGAGCATGAATTGTCTCATAAAAATGTATACAGAAAAAAGTTGCCAAAAAGCAGTTACTCCAAAAAACTTTACCACCCTGCAAAAAAAAAAAAAAAAAAGTTAGCCAGAATATCCATTCACCCTTTACCCAGGGCTCCGGAAGTGGAGAGGGACAGCTTTCTCCTTAGCCTTCCTTTCTGGTGTGTCCTGCTTCCTCTCTTTGCTCCCTTTTAGAGAAGAACCAGCGCTGACCATTCCTTCTCCATCAAGAATTCAGGAAAATTAAAAATTATCTCTTTATCCCCAAAGGCTTGGGTCTCCCTCCCCCCCCCAATTTTAAAAGCACACCTACTTGCTACCTAGTCTGAGAAAGTTGTGAATAGCAAATTCTAATCCATGCCCAGTATTCACCCTTTTTTATTTTTATTCGGTGGTCTGACTGAACTCTGAGGAGGAGGAGGGAAGGATAGAGGAAAGAGCATGTGCAAGAAGGCAGGGAGGCATGGAAAAGCGGGCAGATTTGGGGTGGGGGCAGGGAGGAGCTGTGAAGAGTTGAAGGCAGGGAGTGGAAGCGAGATGACCTGGAACTAACTGGTGGGCGGCTGGTGCCAGGTGATGAAGAGCCTTGGGTGGTGCGGTAAAGGAGTTTGAACTTTCCCCTGAGGACAATGGGGAGAAACAGAAAGCATTATGCGGGGAGGAGGCATGTTTGGATTATGTTCTAGAAAGGTTGCTCTACTTGTTCCATGATGGAGAAATTAGAAACTCCAGGGAGAATGAGTGGGGCTGGGTGATACTTTAGGCAAGAAATTATACGAATTAACGTCTCATAAACCATCCTGGCATGTTTAGTAAACAAGGTCGAAGACTCTGAGAATGGTCCTCAAGGTTCATGGAAGAGTATATGGTCTTCCATGTGCCCCAAATTTATCATGCAACGTTGGTATGGTTTTATTGATCAACTAACTCTACAAAAGGCTCAAATAACCTTATATGCAGAACTGAATTCTGATTACCTAATTACTCCCTAGAGATGGAAACATGATAAGACAAATTAACTTTAAAATGTTAGCTTTATCTAGAGGAAGTCAATTCTGGGCTGAATTCTTTCTCCCTCTGAGATGCTTTTGTTTTCCTCAGAGTCCTGTGGACTAAGGGAGTTAATTTGGGTCAGATGCTGTGAGATTTGTTATTTTTTAAACATACTCTGTATAATTATAGTAGCAAGTGGTTAAAACTTACTCCACCCTTGATAACCCCATCTCCAAGATAGGATAAGAGTACATTTCTTAAAGTAAAATAATAGACAGCAGGACATTGCAACCTGGAAACTCTTGATTATTAAATTTTAACATGTGAGTGGGTATGGTGGTCAGGGCTGGTAATGCAAGGAGGCTTCCTCAGGCGTTGCTCTTCTGTTGTGTTCCAGAAATCTGCACTAGCAAGTGAAAACAGCATAGAAAAGAGATCTTAAAGAGGGGTCTCGTCTCTTTGTTTTAGAATAATCTTTGTGGTTGAAATAGAAGCCACCTCTATGCCTAAATGTGCCTGGTTCCTAGCACACAGAATGTTGTTGTGGTTGCCATGGTGAGATCAAACAGACTCCCCGCCACTGTTACCCTCCTTCTTAGTCAACATACTATATTATTTGACTTCTCTTATTTTCATCTTGGACAAGCTTGTTAATGTAAACATCTTCATTGTTCAATACTTAAGGAGAATAAATAATGAAGGAAATCCAGTGGAAATACCAACCGTGGGTCTAGACACTGTAAAAATCTAGTGGAGAATCCTAATAGAAGCTTTGCTAAATTGTTGGGAGTATACATACATAAGCCTTTTTCTTATATCTAACATTCAGTACTTTGGTTTGAAAACTTTGTGGTTGAGTTTTTGGAAACTTTTTCTGATGTAGAAAAGTCAGCCACACTCTAGAATAGAGGGCCGTTTTAGGAACAGGGTACTTGAAGGGCCGCCCACGTATGGGACTGCCACCTCCCTAGAGAAACAACTGTAGCCTGTGATAGCCAGCATGTGAAGAGGCCTTGAAAGCTTCCAAAGAACTTCCCTCACCACCCTGTATTGCCCTTAAGCTTTCCAAAAGCCAGGGAAATCAGCAATAGTGTGATGAATCCTTTTGCACTATTAATTCTTATCTAACGTATAGGAAGCAAGTTTTGTGTGGGTGAGACTGAAGTTTCTTAAAGTGGAAATTGCTGTCTCTTGTGCTGAAATTGATGGGTTTACATAGCTTCCCGAACTGAAGATGGAAAGTTGATTAAAAACATATACTGACAGTTTTATGAATTGAGCGACAAGCGTATTGATCATGTTTTCCCTCTCTCTCTTTTTCATGCTGCGGAAGTGATTGAAGGTGAGGAATAGAAATCGGGTATGAGAACCATTGGTGGAGAGCCTGGGAGGACCAGGCTCTCGTGGGGGAAAGAGCTGACTGGACACTGAGGGTGATCGGGAGTACAGGAAATGAGAGGGACCTAAGGATTGGCGGTCCCTTCAGACAGGGGCCACACGTGCCCGAAGACTGGGACAGAGGAGAAATGAGGCAGGGTGGGTCAGATAGAGGCCTATCATGGAGGACCTTGGAAATTAAGCAACATGTAGGCTCCATGGTTCTGGAGCTTCTGTTTGGGCAAGAGAGGGGTGGCATTGAGGGGTTGGGAACGAAGCCACTGCCCTGCTGTTCTTCCCCGCACCATGGAACTTCTTGGAAAGGTAACCTGGCCTCCTTGCCTTTGCTTCTTCAACTCCTATTTGCTCCTCCAACCCAGTGCAATCTGGAAAGATCTCAAGCACCCCGCCCCCCTTCCTCCTGCTATAACTGCCCTCATAATGGTCGCTAGATACTGCCCGATGGTCGGTCACATCCAGCCCCCCTTTTTCCCCAGCCCTTATCTGTCTTCTTGATTTCTCTGCATCGATGGACTCTTGTTAAATGGTATGGCTTCAGCTACTTCCCAGATGTTGGCAGCTCCCAAATCTATCTCCAGCTGGGGCCTTGCCCTGGAGCTCCCGACCTGGGTGGCCACCTGCCTCCCAGACAGGGCCACGTGGCTCCACAAGGCCCACCAGCCCAACATGAACCAAACGGAACTGTCCGTCCTCTCTGCGGGCTTGCTGGGTCTCCTCTCGTGGCTGGGTAGTGGTTTCACAGTCCACTCTGTGATTTTCGTAAAATGCAGAGCAGATCTGAGCACGTCATACCCTCCCTCCCTTGCCTTGGCAGATCTTTTGGTGATGGGATGAAGCCCAGAACCCTTCATGTGGCAAGATCTGGCGTCTGGACTCCTACTCACTTTCCCTGATGTACCTGCCGCTTCCTGGCCTTGGTACCTGCTGTTCTCCTCTTGAAGTTCCCTTCCCTCTCCGGGTCCCCTCTTCGGGGCTTCTTTTGCTGTTCCTAGAGTTCCCTGTCCATGTAGAGCACTTAATATAAACGCACTCTCCACCCCACTTCCTCAGCTGCTGAGTGCATGGACAGCAGGCAACTTTTTCTTTCTTTTCTTTCTTTTTTTTTTTTTAGGTGTAGCTTTGTTTCCTGAGCTGCCAGGCCAGGTCCTTACATATAATAGGAACTCAGTGATTTATGAATGAAGGAATATGGAGAGTCTGTGCTTTGGAGACAGTATAATTAGTTGCTATCTTCGCTCTATGTACCTTGTGCGCATAAGTGTTTAATAGAATAATGTGACCCTATTGCAAATTGAGTAACTTGTGCAACGCTTTGTGTTGGAAGGTGCAGCCTGCTGTGACATGTCTTGGAAACGGGAACTGTTTGGCATGGTGTATTCTCTTCTGTTATTTAAGCTGTGTCTACAAACTCATTAGACCAACACTCTTTGGGCAGCCACTAATGGAACAGGCACCCGGCAGGGCAGAGGAGCAGATGGTGACAATACCACAGTGATACTCCCATTTATGCTAGGCTCTGCACTTGACTTAGCTCATGAGATCACCTCCTTCCTAAATACGAGGAAATGGAGCCTCATGCTTAAATGTCTCTTCTAAGGGAATAGAGCTGATAAAAGGATAGTGGATTTGAGCAAAGGTCTGTCTTATCTCTAGGCCCTGGCTTGTTTCATGTGGTAGGTACTAATTGTTTAGCACCTTCTGTGTCTGAGGTGCTGGGACATACATTATTTAGATTTAATCTCCTAACACTCAGCAAGGCATTGTTGTTCCATCATATGGGCAGGGGGTGGGGGGGAGGGGAATGGGCTCAGAGAGGTTAAGTAACTTGTGCAGGACTGCACAGAACTGTGGCAAGCTGCAGAGCTGACGTACCCAGGTCTGCTGGCCTCCCAAGCTCATTCTCTGTCCACTCAGCACATGGCATGATCTAGGCAGGGGGCAAGAGGCCTGGAAACAGGTCCTTGAAGTTCAGGGTGATGAGGGCGGGTATAAAACAGCCAGGGCAAGGAGCCGCGGGTTCCACGAGGAAGGAATAGAGATGGCTGTTCAGGCCACGGGCTTTACATGCTCTGATCGTGGCGACATTATGCTGTTAAATCATTCATTCGCCAGACATTGTTTGGGCCCTTCAGTTTGCTAGGTTGCTAGTGGCAATTGATATACGAGAAAGACAAGGTCACTTTTTAAAAGAACTCATGGACTTGTGGGAGGAGAGAATAGAAGAGTGAGAAGGGGGGAAAACGGCTGTAGGAGGGATCCACGCCGTGAGGGAGCTAGTCACCAGGGCCCGCTGGCTGGGCGTGGAAAGTGAACTGGCTGCCCTCTTAGTTACAAGTCCGTCCCATCTCCATCCCACCCACATCCCACCCAGGCTCTGTCCTGTCAACCTCTCTGACCTTCTGTGCTTCGGCCACATTGACCTACGTTTGGTCCACAAGGGTCGCCAAATTTGTTCCTGCCTCAGGGCCTTTGCCCTTGCTGTTCCTGCTAGCCGCCATGCTCTTTCCCCAGTGCTTTGCTGCCCTGAATCTTCTCAAGAGTCCCCTCCTCAGGGGGCTTTTCCCTGGCTGCCCTCCCTATTCATTCTTATTTTATTTTATTTTTTTGAGACAGAACTCACTCTGTTGCCCGGGCTAGAGTGCCGTGGCATAAGCCTAGTTCACAGCAACATCCAACTCCTGGGCTCAAGCGATCCTCCTGCTTCAGCCTCCCGAGTAGCTGGGACTACAGGCACGCGCCACCATGCCTGGCTAAGATTTTCTATATATTTTTAGTTGGCCAATTAATTTATTTCTATGTTTAGTAGAAACAGGGTCTCACTCTTGCTCAGGCTGGTCTCGAACTCCTGACCTCGAACGATCCACCCGCCTTGGCCTCCCAGAGTGCTAGGATTACAGGCGTGAGCCACCACATGTGTCCCTGTCCCTATTCATTCTTTGTCTCATTGTCCAGTCCTCCCTCTCCTCCCAGCACTAACCGTGATCTAAGAATGCAGGCTCTGGGACCAGCCTGCGTGGGTTCCAATCTCAGCTCTGACAGTTTACTAGCTGGGTGGCCTTGGACAAGTTACCTAGCCTCTCTGTGCCTCAGTTTCCTCATCCGAAATGGGAATGATGACCATAGTACTTCTGTCTCATAGTGTACCAGTGCAGGGATTAACTGAGTTTATTCATGTAAAGCACCAAGAGTACCTGGCGTATAGGAAGTATATAATAAATACAAAGTGAGTGAATCGTCTCACTTGCATTCATCCATCCAAAACATGCTGAGTTTGAACAATTAGACGCTATAGAATGCAGGGCTGGGAACACAACAGTGAACAGGACGGGCACGCTGTCTGTGCTCCAGGAGTTTACTGCCTGTCTGAACCATTTCCCTTGTTGACGCAGATATGCATTTTATTCTCCGTCGCACCATCAATCCAGCAATACCTCCTTGCTGCTGAGAAGTAGGGTTCTCTGTGCACATACAATATATGAATTGAATTTATGTGGAGGACAGGAACCAATAAAGCAGATAAACTGGGCAGTGATGTGAATTGTGTTGAATGAATTTGTTTATGAATGAATCTGTCTATGAATTTGTCTATTCACTTTATAAAGGGATTGTTGGTGGGGTTCTACTGAGTAGGATTATTGCTATAAAAAAAACACACCCAAATCTCAATGGCTTAACACACACACACACCGACTTTCTCAGTCGTGTAACAGTTCAGTGCAGTGTTTGGTCAGCAGCCTTACAAATCTCGTGGCTCCAGCACCCCAGTCCTCTGCTGGCCCCTCTGCATCTGGCTGACAGATGGGGAAAGAGAAGGACAAGAATCGCCCAAGACATTTTCTTCTGGGCAAGGCCTGGACAGGGCACACGTCGCCTTGCGTCCCAGTAACCAGAACTCAGTTCCACGACCACAGGAACTGCCAGGGAAACTGGGGTAGGTTGTCTAGTTGTGCGCCTGGGAGCAAAGGGAAGAAGGTTTTGGTGACCACACTGCGGTCTCTGCCAGCAGGAGCACACCAGAGCGGGCAGCCGTTGGGCCACGTGAGGCCCTTGTCCACCTGCAGTGGGCCCCGGAGCGAGGGAAGTGCCCTGATACCTATTGTTTTGCCTTCACAGACAAACACGTGCGATCAAAATCTAAACATTTGCCTTGAACTCATTGAACAAGTTGCCAAAGTGCAGGGACAGCTCTTTGGGATCCTGACAACAGCGGCCCAAGAAGGTGAGAACGGCCTTGCTCGCCCTCCAGCTGTCTCTTCTTTTCTCTCTCCGCTTCCTGCTTTCCCGTGTTCTCTGATGGAGTTTGCGCGGTTAGTTGCGTGTCTTCCGCCGACCTGCCGTGTGTCTTCTTTTAGGAGGACACAATGACGGCGTGGAGACGATCAAATCGCGCCTCTTGCCCTGGCTGGAGAATTCCTTCACTGCTGCTTCCATGGGAAAACCTGTCGACAGCAGGGTCCCCTCTCTGCAGGTAAGGATGCTGAGGGACAACCCCTGACTTTCCGCAACAGGGAAATGAAGCTCATCGGAAACTCCCAGGATGAGAAGGAAACTTAACCCCAGTAGACGGGCAGAGAGTGTCCACAGTTTGTGATTGACATTGGTGGTTTCCATAGGGCAGTGCCAGTTTTTGCGAAGTTGGAGACCGGACTGGAAAAGAACACGAACCTTCTTAAGGCATCACGTCATAATGTCTGAGCAACCAACACATCAGTAATGTTACTTTTAGATGTTTATAGGGATTAACCCAACTTCTTTTCTGAAATGGCAGGCTTCAGTGCCGTCCCTTCTGAGCAAGAGAGCCTTAGAGATAGTAGTGGCCGAGGGATTCCTGCTTGGAGATCACCAGGCGGAAAACCAGTCCTTCTATGGCCCTCGGGAGATGGCTACATTTTATGTCTCAGTTTGCTTATTTGTTGAATGGGGACAATGATTTTGCTGACCTAATAGTGTCACTGTGAGAATTAAATGTGACAAGTACATGAAACAACTTGGCCAGAGCCTAGCACATGGAAAGTTCTCTGCAGACATCAGGTGTCATTAAAAAATTTTTCTCACTGAGGATTTTTGGATGCGTCTCAGATTTTCACCTCCTGGGGGTGCCATTCTCGGTACAGAGATGTAGGATGATGTTTCAAAGGCTTTTTATTTTTTTAAATTGAAGTATAATTTAGGTTGATGAGTTTTGATATATATATGTCAAATATATATATATGTATCTCCCTGATATATATATATCCATGTAAACGCACACCCTGGTTGAAATATAAAACATTTCAATCATTCCAGAGCATTCTTTGTGCCACCCCCAGGGCACCCAGTTTTCTGATTTTTTTTTTTTTTTGAGACAGAGTCTTGCTTTGTTGCCCAAGCTAGAGTGAGTGCCGTGGCGCCAGCCTAGCTCACAGCAACCTCAAACTCCTGGGCTCAAGCAATCCTCCTGCCTCAGCCTCCCGAGTAGCTGGGACTACAGGCATGCGCCACCATGCCCGGCTAATTTTTTTTTTCTCTATATATTAGTTGGCCAATTAATTTCTTTGTATTTGTAGTAGAGACAGGGTCTCGCTCTTGCTCAGGCTGGTTTCGAACTCCTGACCTCCAGCAATCCACTTGCGTGGGCCTCCCAGAGTGCTGGGATTACGGGCGTGAGCCACCCACGTACTCAGAACCGTGTATTACGCACCAGACTTCTTTTGCTCAGCCTAATGTATTTTGTAACATCCATACCATGTCATGTGTTCAGATTATTTTTTGATTCGTGTATCTTTCAGGACACATTTGACAAGGAGAGACATAAAGATTCTGGCTCTCGGGATCGAGACTTACAACAGTTAGACTCCGATTTGAACTCGACCCGTAATCAACTCAACAAGGTTCAAGACGAGTAAGAGGAATGCAAGTTATCTTTTTCCAAAAAGGATTGTTCTCAGATTAATTACATTTTAAATTTGAAAGGAGAATAATGGCTTATGTAAAATGTGGGCATTTGCAAATAAGTAATATAATGTGTGTGTGTGTGTGTGTGTGTGTGTGTGTGTGCGTGCGCGTGCACATATGCATGTGTGTGTGTGCGCGTGCGCGTGTGCGTATGTGCATGTGTGTGTGCGTGCGTGTGTGTGAGTGTGAGAGAGAGAGTTGGAGGCTGTGTCCTTGAATTTGAATCTCTCTATTATTTTAGGACTCCTTGGTTTCATAGGCCATCATCAGCCCATATCATAAACAAGTAAAGGTTGTTAGATGAAAACCTATCATTTGGGAGGCAAATTTTTAAAAAAAGAGACAGAAGGGAAAGAGTGAACGGGGGTGAAAGGTCAGGTCAAGAGGAAAACTAAGAGACAGAGCAAAAGCAAGATGAAGCTGGCTGCATCTATCTGATCATTGTTCTCACCTTGGGGAACATATACGCCTGGCTGAGGGTTAGAGTTCGTCTCCTTAAGAGATGAACAGTTCAAGATTCTGGAATAGCTATTAGGTATAAAAATGTATTGTTTTTTTTAAAAAAATGAAGCAGTGCTGGGCAACAGCAGATCTCAGATGGATGCTGTGGGCAGAGCCAGGGGAGTGATCTTAGGCAATCACCGCAAAGAAAATTGCAGACTTTGGGCTTGTGCTTGAGGAAGGCATGCAGATGGGTTTGACGTGCCTAACAAAAGTCCCTCACTAAGGTGTTCCTCCTACCACAGCATTGCGCATGCTGGCGTGAATGGAAGAGACAGCAAGGAGGTGTTTTTTTGTTTGTTTGTTTGTTTTTTAAACTAGTGGAGGCTTGTAGTGGGACAACATGTGCTGAGAGCTCCTTCTTCCTCCCCAAAAGGAAAACATCCCTGTGGATTTTGTTTTGCCCGATTATAAAAGTTATCCAAATTTCTTTCTCAAAATGCACACAGCAAACAAAAATATAAAGATGAAAATCACCACTTACCTCATCTCCGCTAACATTTTGGTCTGTTTCACTCCAGACATTTTCTCTTTGTGCGCCTGGGCACACACACACACCTCCACACCCCCATCCATTTTCCCAGTTGGGATCATAGGCAGTGCAGTTGTGTTACTGCGGCAGTCAAAAGTTACACACGTCATATGCAAAAAGGATAAAATGTCCAATTTACTTCAACTAATGTCAGCTGAATTTGGAGTGGGGGAGGAGAATCCTTACATTTGCTACATTAAAGTAACACAGGCTTTTTTTTTTGGTTTATTGGCGTCCCTTTTGTGTAAATATTCATTCATTCCGAGTGCAAACTTGCATTAAGACTGGTTTTTGTCCTCTCCTGGGGTCTCTTTTCCCCTCGTCCTTCTTTTGATTGGCATCTAGGGGAGGGAGGCTCGCATCCTCTCCCGGTGCGGAAGGCAAGGGGTTTTGGTCTTGTCCTGCTCTCTGGGTTCTTGCTGGCCTTGGTTCCACCTAGACACCAGTGTCTTGTGCTGGTGCTTGTGCTGAGCTGTGCCTTGTCTGGTCAGGTCTCCTGGGACATTAGCTGGCAACTGCTGCAGGCGACCAGGGCCCCTTCATGTGCCTTTAGTTGTAAGGCAGGACTCACAACGTTGCTGGTTCTTGGTGACCGTCAGCACCAGTACAGGCCAGGACTTCCCTCTTCTTTTTCTTGTTACAATGACTCTGTTTTTGAGTCAGAGTCTCACTCTGTTACCCTGGCTAGAGTGCCGTGCTGTGGCATCAGCCTAGCTCACAGCAACCTCAAACTCCTGGGCTCAAGGGATCCTCTCGCCTCAACCTCCCAGAGTGTTAGGATTACAGGAGTGAGACAGAAGCACTGTTTTTTTTTTTTTTTTTTGAGACAGAGTCTCACTCTGTTGCCCGGTCTAGAGTGCCTTGGCATCAGCCTCGCTCATAGCAACCTCAAAGTCCTGGGCTCAAGTGATCCTCCTGCCTCAGCCTCCCTAGTAGCTAGGACAACAGGCATGCGCCACCATGCCCGGCTAATTTTTCTATATATTTTTAGTTGGCCAATTCATTTCTTTGTATTTATAGTAGAGACGGGGGTCTCGCTCTTGCTCAGGCTGGTTTCAAACTCCTGACCTTGAGCGATCCTCCCGCCTCAGCCTCCCAGAGTGCTGGGATTACAGGTATGAGCCACCGTGCCCGGCCAATGCATGCTTTTTTGTAAAAAAAAAAAACATTTTTATTAGAAAATACTTTCAAACACAGAAAATTTGCAAGGATAGTACTGAGAACACCCACATATCCTTTTATATACATCTCCCCCTGTTTGCTCTCTATCTGTGTGTGCACACTCTCCATCCACCCCAACTGTCTGAAAGCTGTCTGCAGGAAGGGGCTTGCTGCTTTTCCCTGGATTTCCTAGTTTTGTTTGGTGTTAACCCACTTGTAGTTCTTATTCTATTTTTTTAATTTAAGGTATCACAAATGATGGAGCTGTTCCCCTGTTCTATAGTAGCCATCTCTCTCTTCCTTCTTTTACTCTCTGCTCACATGTCTCCTAAGGCCCTGGAATGAATGGCCCAGCCAACGAGGCTCCCTGTGTCTAACCTTGTGCTGATGGGTTGGTTCTGGCTCAGTTCCAAAGGTGCAAATCCCAATAACACAGGGCTGATGGGCTCGGGTCTGCCTAGGTTTGACGGAACTCCAGACAGTGGAAGACCATGGGACTTTATGCCTGGACTTGGGTTATGAATCTCGCTTTTCCTCATCTCCTATATCTGATCTATTAGAACGTCCAGTTGAAACTGCCTCCTAATCTCTCCTGTTTGTCCTTTTCTTTCTTTTCCGCCACCACTGCCCTCTGCCATCTCTTCCTTCCTTCCAACTGGCTTTCTTACCAGCTGTCTTCCTTCCAACTGGCTTTATGCTTCCTGCTTCCATTCATGCTTAACTACATTTTCTGCTTAGCAAATATATATATACATATTATATATATATTTTTTTTTTTTTACGGTATCTTGTCACCCTTCTTATTAAAAGCTGTTAGTCTCCTTCTTTTATACCTAGAAAAAAATTCTAGATTTCTCACCAGGCTCTTGCAGCAGCCTGCCGGGTCTGGCCCAACCTCTGCACCTCCCTCATCCCAGGTCAGTCTCCCCGACCCGGTCTACTGCCTACTTCCTCACCGTGAGGCCTTTGCCTGAAAGAACTTTCTAGTCTCCCACTGGCACTTTGCATGCATGGCTCTTTATTATCCTTCAGGTCTCAGCTTAAATGCGACTTTCTCAAGAGTCTGACTTGTGCCGTGCATTGGAAGGTCTTTGTTCTCCCCGTCTTCAATTCTCTTTCACAGTGACCTGCTTTTTTCGTAAGAGCACTTACCACAACTGAGAACTCTAAAAAATGGACTTGCTTGCACGTTTCTGATCTGCCTCCTCTGCTAGACCGAAAGATCCAGAGGATTCTTGTCTTGTATTGCTATTTTGACACTGTTGTGTCTCCAGCACTGAGCATCATGCCTGGCACGTAGTCAGTTCCCAATGATCTGCTCAGTGAATGAATAAATGTGTAACAAAACATTTAAATAGAATGCTAACCTGCACGAAGCAATTCTGGCACATGAATGTTCTTCTCTTTCTTCTCTCTGCGTGTCATCCAGGCATGTGAAATGAGCATGTATGTTTGCTTGTAGGTGCTGGGAGAGAAACAAAAAATCTTCTTTCTTCTTGCTTATATTTTCCTTCCTTTCTTGGCTCATTTTCTTTTCTTTTCACTTTCTACAGTTTTCTCTTGATAAAAAAAATGTTTATTTTCCCATATTTACTTTTTAAAACCTGTAACATATTCGTATTTGAATTAATACACTCTAATTTCATTGCAGCCTCCAATAGCTATATGTAGGAAATTAATGCTACTTTGGCTTTCTTTTAGGCTTTAAACATTTTGTTCATTCATTCATTTTTCATTAAAAAACAAAAAGATCTTCCATGTGACAGGCACTGTTGTAGGTCCTGGGGGTAGGGATATAAATAAAATAAAAATCCTTGTGCTCGAGTAGTTACAGCATGAATGTAATGAGATAGATGGGAGTGGAGCTCGGGAGTAGGGGAGACACACTTTGCTTAAGATAGTTGGATGGTAGGTGGAGTGGGATGGATAAGTGGGCATTTACAGGAGGAGAAGGAGGGCGTGGGGTGGAATTTTGGGTAAGTATGTGATTGGTTGGGATCCTCAGGATTGATAGGGATCTTGATAGCCTATCATTTCTCAGCCTGCTTCACTGTCTAGGTGAAAATCCCAGTGTTTTTACCTTTTGCTGTTCTTCCATCGAGAGGGAAGGAGGAAGGCTGGTGTGAGTGCAGAGGGCAGATTTACTCTCTTAGCCCCAGGACTGGTGTGATGATGCAGGGAGGCTGGGTCAGGGAACAGGGAAGTCAAGAAACAGGGAAGTCAAGAAACCCCAAGTCTCACTGGGGGCAACTTCATTGCGAACCATTGGTCTTCATCCAATGTCTTCCATCTCACTCCCATTTTCTTTTTTTTTTTTTTGAGACAGAGTCTCTCTCGCCCCTGCTAGAGTGCAGTGGCATCATCATAGCTCACTGCAACCTCATAACTCCTGGGATCAAGTGATCCTCCTGCCTCAGCCTCCCGAATGGCTGGGACAAGAGGCATGTGCCACCACACCTAGTTAGTTTTTTCTGTTTTTGGTAGAGATGAGGTCTTGCTCTTTCTCAGGCTGGTTTCGAACTCCTGAGTTTAAGCAATCCTCCTGCCTCGGCCTCTCAGAGTGCTAGGATTACAGGCCTGAGCCACTGAGCCTGGCCTCATCCCACTCCCATTTATTTTTACTTTTATTTTTGAGACAGAGTCTCACTTTGTTGCCCAGGCTAGAGTGAGTGCCATGGTGCCAGCCTAGCTCACAGCAACCTCAAACTCCTGGGCTCAAGCAATCCTCCTGCCTCAGCCTCCCGAGTAGCTGGGACAACAGGCATGTGACACCATGCCTGGCTAATTTTTTCTATATATATTAGTTGGATGATTAATATCTTCCTATTTTTAGTAGATGGGGTCTCGCTCTTGCTCAGGCTGGCTTCGAACTCCTGACCTTGAGCAATCCTCCCGCCTTGGCCTCCCAGAGTGCTAGGATTACAGGCATGAGCCACTGCGCCCAGCCCCCATTTATTTTTAAATTTAGATAGACCTAAAGAAAGAGTATGATTTATTATGATTTGTCTACAATGAAGAAAGTCCTTGAAAGTACAATGACTGAGCTATGGTGAAAACTCAGGGAAGTTGTGCTCAGTAAGTGGTGGAAGTCAGAGGCAGGAAGATGTGAAGGACTTGGAAGTCAAGTGTGATTTCCTTATAGGTGGGCGCATGGTTTTTTTAAAGTCCTGTGCAAAATAATGAGAATAGATATCGGTCTATTGTAGAAAAATGGGAATTTTATAGAGGGGCAACCTGGGAATTTGGTGTAATCAGAGCAGATGAGTTAGGAGGGTGAGATGGAGGAATCGAACACATTTCTTTGTCCTTCACATTCTAATATTAATGGTTATTACATAGTCTTAGTAGCTTTCTTTGTGTTTGACGTTGAGCAAAGGGTGTCAGCATGTTTTTGCATACAAGCCCACCATAATATTTGTAACATTATATTATCTGATTGGATGCAGATGTCTTATAACTTCATCTTGTTTATGTTGAATTTATAGTATGTGCCAAAAGTTCCCCCCAAAAACCTATGCCTTGATTTAGAAAGTCTGCCAATTTTGAAAAAAATCTATCTTTAGTTACTGATTTCTCTTACAGTCTGGCTGAAACTGAAAAGACTCTTGAAGAAACCAAGACCAGATCGGCCATATCCCTTTTGGCTGCAGAGGAGGAAATAAATCAGCTAAAAAAGCAGTAAGAAAAAAATGACAGGATTATTGCAGCCTGCTGATGAATCATTGAAACTTAGCTTTTTTGGTGTTCCATTAAAAAAATCTGTTCACAATCAATGAGGAAAGGCAGCAATATTTTTATTAATGTTTTACATTTGTTTTTAACTATAAAAATACTATCTATGTACTATAGAAAATTTCCAAAGTATAACATAGTGTAAAAGAATATAAAAACCCTCTCATAATTCCAGGGCCAGTTGCTGTTAACATTTGATATTCTTTCTGGTTAATATATTAAAAATAGAATTGAGACTACAGAGTAAAGTATATAAGTATACAATTTTGGATCCTACCTTTTCACTTGATGTTGTTTTTCTCTATCACTAAGAAAAAAAATACTGCAGAACTTAGTTTTACATAAGTTCATCATGTTCCATCAACTGGGTATTTCCCTAATATTGCATATTTATTTGCATACTAATATTCAACATTGGAAATAAAACTGGGATAATTTTTATGGAAAATCTTAAATTTCAGATTATTCCTTAAAGATGAATAGGCAAAGGGGAAAATAAACACTGATCCTTTAAGGTCATAGTTTCCTTGATCTTAATTTTGACCCCCCCTCCCCCCCAAAATGAGCTAATGGGAGGGATATTTTATACACACACACACACACACACACACACACACACACACAGTCCATTTGATTGTCTTCATACATGTTCCAATTATTCTGATTTCATCAGGAACACCCATAAATCTTAGCTGGGAATGGTGTTCTGTTTTCCACTCCTGTCTTCCTCCTCACCATCATTTTAATCTCTTATTTCCTATTTGGTATACTTTCTCAAAGTCATTGATCATATTACTCATTGATTTCCCATAGCACCAATTCCGTTTACTGCGTCTAGCGCAGGTTTTCATTCTATTACATTTTTAGCTTGTCTACATCTTTCTTAATCTTACTTTTCATCTTACACCCTTGCCTTTTTTCATCTCAGCACATTCTCTCTTACGGCTTTTGCTTCTGTTTTCTGGTGGCCATGCCTGTTTGTATCTTGGTGAGGATGCCAGTTTTACTTCTAAAGGGTTTTGTTTGTTTCTGTGCTACGTTATTTTCACAGTTCCACACTTCCAGCCAGTCTTGTGGATGTTAGCTAATTTCCACGGTAGTTTCGCCCCGTATTCTTCCCGTTCAGAGAATTGAAGAGCTCTAGTGAGGGTAGGAGATTATATCTTCGACCAGCTTTTGGACTGGGTTTTGGAGCTCAAATGTTTTCAGAGTTTTGTGCAGTTAAGATCAGTCCAATATGGAACGGCATGTCTGTAGGTCCACGCTGCTTCTGCTAGTGATCTCTGTGAATAGCATCCTTCCTTTAGGAACCTTTTCCCATGCAAGCGGCGCACTGGGAGTGACACTGGACCCTGGCAATTCTGCTCTTGCTAATTTGTGTTTCTGGTGTGCATTTCTTTTCTTTTTTTGAGACAGAGTCTCACTTCACTCTGTTGCCCAGGCTAGAGTGCCGTGGCATCAGCCTAGCTCACAGCAATCTCAAACTCCCAGGCTCAAGAGATCCTCCTGCCTCAGCCTCCCGAGTAGCTGGGACTAACAGGCATGTGCCCCCATGCCCGGCTAATTTATATATATAAATATATATATTTTTATATATATTTTATATATATATATTTTTAGTTGGCCAGTTAATTTCTTTCTATTTTTTTTTTTTTAGTAGAGATGGGGTTCTCGCTCTTGCTCAGGCTGGTTTCGAACTCCTGACCTTGAGCGATCCTCCGGTCTCGGCCTCCCAAGTGCAAGGACTGCAGGCGTAGGCCACCACGCCTGGCCCTCTGGGTGTGCAATTTTGGTCAGAGTTTTCCAATGCAACAATGGCAAAGTAGAGAAGCGTCTGCTGTTAAACATGGCAATTGTCACTTATGACTTTTCGGTCCTCTCCTTCCCTCCCTCCCCTCCCCTCTCCTCTTCCTCCCCAACCCCCCTTCCCCCCTGCCTTTTGCTGTCCAGGCTGAAGTCCCTGCAATCGCAGGAGAAGGCCCGCCACCGGAGCTCGGACTGCCGGGACTTGGACAGCCGGCGCCCGGAGCCCCGCAGCTCGCCCCGCAGCTCGCCCCGCGTCACGACCAAGCACAGCTCGTCCAGGCGCAGCTCGGAGCAGCGCGACGCGGACCCCTCGTCCCGCTACGAGAGCCAGATGCGAAACCTCAAGGACGAGATAGCCGTTCTGTCCTCAGAAAAGTCCCCGCTCCAAAGAAGGTCGGACACACTCTCACGGAGCTTTTTTTTTGCATTTGAGCTCTCTTTTTGCCCAGTTAGTGGTAAAAAAAAACAACACCTGGTATGTGGGGAGGAAGGGGGGGAGGGGGGATTTGGGGCTGAGAGATACATGGAAGGAAAGTTCTTCTGCTTGAAAGCAGATTCGTGTGGGTCTGCCGCACAAGTGTTGAGGGAACGTTCCCGTGACACACGAGGGCCCTCTTCTCGGAGGCCTAGGAGTCCTCTCTCCAGGCATGACTGTCCGTGTCACCTCGGGGAATTCCCTTTTTGTATCTCGCTTCAGTTTGGTAGCAGGTGCAAGGTTAAGCGTTCTTGTGAAATCCCTTTCTACTGACAGACAGATCTTAAGACGGGTCATTAACACAGTGCTAACTAAGGACAAAGCAGGAGGTTTCTTTCTGGAGTCTCTGCATTTCTCTCTCTCTTTTTTTTAGAGACAGAGTCTCGTTTTGTTGCCCAGGCTAGAGTGAGTGCCGTGGCGTCAGCCTCGCTCACAGCAACCTCAAACTCCTGGGCTCAAGCGATCCTCCTGCCTCAGCCTCCCAAGTAGCTGGGACTACAGGCATGCGCCACCACGCCCGGCTAATTTTTTCTATATATATTAGTTGGCCAATTAATTTCTTTCTATTTATAGTAGAGATGGGGTCTCGCTCTTGCTCAGGCTGGTTTCGAACTCCTGACCTCGAGTGATCCGCCCGCCTCAGCCTCCCAGAGTGCTAGGATGACAGGCGTGAGCCACCTTGCCTGGCCTGCATTTCTCTTATTGTTTTAGACAACCTCTCCCCCAGTGTGCCCTGATCCAGGCCATCGAAGCCACCACCCCTGCCCCCATCTCGATTTTGCTAATTGTCACCTTAGTCCTTCAGTTCTGGGAATCACTCTGCCAGGGGTGCGTTGGTGCTGACGTGTACTGGCTCCCAAGAACCGGTTCCGTGCCTTTCTGCCACGGTAGAGTGTTTACACCATGGGAAGCGGCAGACACTATAAACGAGCCCATAGTTTCTTCTATAAAACTTCCCTTTTGGGGGGCCCATTTTCTTGGGCTAGCCAGTCTGATAATTTACTTCCTCCTTCATAACGGTGCACTTTCCACTTAGTACTTTGCAACTCACCAGGTGGTGCTGCCACACGTAGTAGCTCACCTGATCTTCCAGCCTCTACCCTCACCCTGAACTAGGGCAAGAATGATGCATGTAAAACCGGTCTCTGGAGAGGAGGAACGATCACAACGTTCCCACCGGTACGGCGGGGTGAGGCCATAGGCTCTAGGACAAGAGCACAGAACTCATTGTTCAAGGGTCTGTTCATTCCATTTTGTACCACTAGGCTGTGTGGCGTGCTTGTTGAATCACGTGTAAGCACCCCTAGGTGAGGGTAGCATTCCATGTAAATGTTTGCTCGCACATTCATTCATTCATTCCCTGAGCAGATTAATGGGGACCGACCACGTGCCAGGCATGGTGCTCAGTGCTGTAGACACAACAGCGTGGAAATAGCCACACCACAAGGCAGGGACCCTTGGATCTTCCAGTCTAGTAGGGGAGACGGGTCGTAACTATGCGTACGAGTCGAGTCGATTTTTCCAAGTTCCCAGTTGTGGTTGCACTAATGTGAGAAAAGTAGGTCCCTGAGAGAGAGTTACAGGCAGGGAGGAGAAAGAGCTTTCAGTGTGCGGCAGTCACAGCCGGACTCTGAGAAAGTCACATTTAAGCTGAGACCTGAAGGATGAGAAGAGCCTCGAACCCTGGCTCTCGCTGGCTGGGCTGCTGCAGGAAGGGAGGGCTTGTGCACTTTCCTGGGCGCCCAGTCCCTCCTCTGTACACCGGCCAGCGACCAGACTTGGCCGTTTCAAGGCCAAAGCGAGGTGCTGAGCGAGTGCAGGTGCGTTTTAAATTGTCACCCCCGGCGCAAACCTGGCGTACCTGAGGCCGCTGCAGGACGCAGTCGTTTCTCACGAGGCCTGGTGAGGTCCCGGGAGGCAGCTGCCGGCCCGCCCAGGGGTCCGAGGCTCTGTTGCCGTTTGCTGGGGGGAAGGACACGAGGGCAGGGCCACCGGAGAGAAGCGAGTGGCGGCGTTCGCGTGGCTGATTCCTGCTCCCCGACAGGCCCAGCAGGAGCCGGTCTCCGAGCCCGGACCCTTGCAGCCACAGCCGCAGCCACAGCCGGAGCCACAGCCGCAGCCGCAGCCGCAGCCGCAGCCGGTCTGGCAGCCCCTCCACCCACCTGAAGATCAGGACGCCGTCCCCGAACCGCTCCAAACTGTCCAACGTGGCGCGCAAGGCTGCGCTCCTGTCCCGGTTCAGCGACGCGTACTCGCAGGCCCGCCTGGACGCGCAGTGCTTGCTGCGGCGCTGCATAGACAAGGCCGAGACGGTGCAGCGGATCATCTACATCGCCACCGTGGTAGGTGGCGCCGCCCTGGGCCGCAGACCTGCGCCGGGGGGCAGCCGGGACAGAGGTTGCCTAAAGTGATGGAACGTCTTATAAAGACTGGCAGATCCTGAGGTCACCGAGGGGAGGAGATTCCATAGTCTCCCCTCCTTCCTTCCTTCCTTCCTTCCAAAACACTTGGGGGTGAATTGTTTTTCACAGTCAATAACTGCTCATATCTATTTATTCATATTCATTATATTGACCAGATATTTGTCGAAGAAGTATCTGTAAATGCAGGACTATCTCAAGTGGGTGTAATCATACATAGTTGATTTGCATGGTACTTTTTGTCTAATCCTGGCATATGCACACACAGTGAGTGTAGCATTGCTAGTGGCTATCGTTTGATTGGTTTCCTTCAGTTCTTAGACAAATCAGGTTGTGATTGTGTTTATGTAACTATGAATAGTTACTAAAACTGCTAGCATTTCCATTACTTGAGTATGACAGATTTTAGAAGTGTACATATGCAATCCTCACTTTCCAAAGCAAATATCTTTGTTCCAGTGATGGGCACCGTGCTGAGATACTAGGAGTTCATAATGAGAATCATCAAATTTAAAAAAGCAACACATTTTGTACTTTTCAAGTACAAAAGCAACACATTGGCATGAGGGCAGAATTATCATAAATACTGAACTTTATCCTGTACTTATTCATTTATATCAGGAGTTTATAAACCATGGCCTATAGGCCATATCTAGACCCAGCCTGTATTTCTAAGAAAAATATGGTTTTACATTTTTAAAGAGTTAAAAAAAAATGTGACAGAGACTGTATGTAGCCTGAAAAGCCTAAAATATTTACTATCTGGCTTTTCATAGAAAAAAATTTTCCAACCCCTGGTTTATATAATTAGGAATCTCTCACTGAGTTGGTTAAAGCTCTGTTAAGTGTAGAGACCAAGTCTTGCATAACTGTGTTTGCTCAGTGCAGACCAAATAATAGGCGTTTAATTAATATTTATTGAATTAACAGAGGCCAGGAAACATGCCCAACTCTTGGTGTGTATTTATGTGCAACACAAACACTAGACTGATAATTTTCTCCTATTTCTTGACCAGTTATATGATATCATGATGGGCTCCTAGCAGAGGATTTGTGTCCTTGAATCTCTGCACTGTCCTGCTTCCTGCACTCAGAATTACCAGAACAACGGCCATCTGTCTTGAAATTAGCGAACATGGATTGTCATATATGTATTTGTGTACTTTTCAAGATTTAGAGATTATTATTATTATTATTTTTTTTTTGAGATAGAGTCTCGCTTTGTTGTCCAGGCTAGAGTGAGTGCCGTGGCGTCAGCCTAGCTCACAGCAACCTCAAACTCCTGAGCTCAAGTGATCCTTCTGCCTCAGCCTCCCGAGTAGCTGGGACTACAGGCATGCGCCACCATGCCCGGCTAATTTTTTCTATATATATCAGTTGGCCAATTAATTTCTTTCTATTTATAGTAGAGATGGGGTCTCGCTCTTGCTCAGGCTGGTTTTGAACTCCTGACCTTGAGCAATCTGCCCGCCTCGGCCTCCCAAGAGCTAGGATTACAGGCGTGAGCCACCGCGCCCGGCCTAGAGATTATTTTGATCAACTGCATTTAGTTATCAGAAGACCAATGATACGATGACAAATTTCAGATTCTTTCTAACTTCTCTCTTTGACATTCTTTACAAACTACCTCTTCCCACCAAATAAATTTGCTGCATTTTCTGCATGCAGGAGGCATTCCATGTAGCTAAAATGGCATTCAGACATTTCAAGATCCGTGTGAGGAAATCGTTGACGCCATCCTACGCAGGGTCCAATGACTTTGAGAATGCTGTCTCGGATTATATCATCTGTCACCTCGATTCCTATGATGTCCAAAGCAGTGTCAATGTAAGTGTTGGGTCTCTTACTGGGAGTGGTTCATTGCTGGCACTGTTTACACTGAATGCTAATAACCCAGAAATCCATCCAGTGTTTAATGCTGATTCTATATAATGGAAGAGAAGAAAGGAACAGCATTCAGTTTTATTTAACAGCACTCATTGTTATTGCTATTTCTTCCTTAATTATATTATGGGGAAAAAAATGGTCTTAGCTTCTTTAGGCGGGCTGTTAAGATTGGGAGATAGAGCAAGGGCTTTGGGAAAGGTACGTGTGGGTTTGCTTCCTGGCTTTGCCTGCCACTTACGGGCTGTGTGATCTTACACGTTTACTTAACCTCTCTGTGCTTTAGTTTCCTAATCTTTATGTGGGAGCAACAATGACCCTTACCCCACAGAGTTATTGAGAAGATGAAATGAAAGGAAGCAGGTAATCTGAGAACAAGACTTGGCACATAGTAAATATTCAATAAAAGCAAGCTGTTATAATGGTTATTATTATAGATTTTGAACAAGTGAGAGTTCTGTGTTGGCACATCATGCATTTCCTCAGAATAGAAAAATAAGGAAATGATAAATAAAAACCATGAAAGGTTTTTTTTTTCTTTTAGCTTTTTAGAGAGACTCTCTCGGCCTGTCATTTGTACCCTGTCTTCCTTCCTCTCTCCTTATCAATGAGGGACAACATCTTTCTCCTTGTAGCGCATGCGCATGTTTTTCTCGTTTAACTTGTTGTCACTCACGTGTCCTTTTCCCACCTCTCGTCAGCCATAACGTCCTTAAGGTGTCAGAGCTTCTTGCCACAGGTGGGTAACAAGGCGATGCCATCTTTTGTTTTTCAGGACGTGATCCGGGCCATGAATATCAACCCCAAGATTTCGTTCCCTCCTGAAGTTGACTTTTGCATCCTCAGCGACTTCATCCGGGAGATATGTTGCATTGCTTTTGCGATGCAGGCATTAGAACCGCCCCTAGATATTGCATTTGGGGCAGACGGAGAAGTTTTCAATGATTACAAGTAAGAGACATAGGCGCAGAAGCGACGGGAGTGCTCATGAAAGAAACTCTCTTCTCTGTGCCCTGAGAACAATTTAGGAAAAAAGAACACAGTGGGTGGGAAACCCACAGACACTACCTGTATTCCAGGCCCCACTGTATACGTGCCTGGACTGCAGGCAGGACTCTCTCCTGGCGCCATTTTCCATGGAACGTGTTGGTCTTTGGGGAGAACTAATGAGTTCTCTGGAGCCTGTCTAGAACATTGTAAAGGCAAGGCGCTATATAAATACAAATGTGTATTACCTTTCACTAACTTTTATTGCGTTATTTAGGCCATGTTTCTCAAAGTATGATGTGTGGATCACTTGCATCAGAATTACTCAAGGTACTTGTTAAAAATGCACACTCCTGGACTGCATTTCACGATATTTTACGTAGTAGGCGTAGGGTGGGGCTCAGGAATCTGCAGATTTAACAAGCACCCAGTGCTTGTTCCTTATGCACACTAATGTGAGAAAACAAATGCTCTTGCCTCTTTTGTCTAGGATCATTAGATTGCTACCAAGTTTTAGATGGCAAATATTTCCCTTACAAATTAGAAGAAATCAAAACATTGTGTTGGGATTTCATAATATCTTAGGATGTAGCTGTAGATTATCTGGGAAAAGGCCAAGCTGCTGGTTAAGATCATAGGTCTGGCCTCAAGCTGCCTAGGTTCAGATTCTGGCTCCACCATCTATTAGCCGTATAATCTTGGGCATGGTACTTGATTTTTCTGTTCCTTAATTTCTTCTCTGTCAAATGGGGGAAATAATAATGCGTACTTCCTAGAGCTGTAGGTTAGTTGAGATAATTCAGATAAAGCACTTAAGGATGCTGCCTTGGCATGGGGCGGGTGCTCAGGAGTTGTTAGCTCTGGGTGTTTGTTCAGGATGTAGAGTTGCGGAAGGCGGCTACCCAGGGCTCCTGTGGGCTTGTTCACGAGGGAGACCGTATACCTTTCTTTCACTCATGAAAGTTCCAAAAATGGTGAGCCCAATTTTCGATGGCCTTATGGCACGTCGTATTTTCTTGCCCTGTTTCTAGTTCGTTCAGATCACTGCTCCTAACATGCACGCATTCATAGAAGAGCTGGGTATCAAGTCATGACACTGCAGCTGTATCTTTTGGACGCCCTTATGGAGCATATTGACTTCATCTGTCTTCCTTTATTCCGTTCTCCTGCAGAGGATGGGTAGTACCAGTCGGGACCATCCGCTGTTTTAGTTTATAGACTCTCCACGTGTCACCGTCCTCCCTTGGGCCTCCTGCTTACGTGACTTTAACCACAGGGAATGTGCTGCTCCTTGGGCATTCTGTGTGGCCTGTGCACTTGGACGGCTGCGCAGGAACTGGAGTTAGGAATCGGAGTTCCTAACAGTGATTGCATTTGCTTCTGCTTCTAGGACTTCATAGGTCAAGGCTGAGGCTTTTTCCGCCCTGGCAGCCTTTCATGCATTTGAAAGCAGTTCCCCAAATCCTCCTCCTCCTGGCCTGGTGGCTTCAGGTTTTTTTTTTTTTTTTTTTTTTTCATACGGAGTGGGTTTGCGACTTCTTGACAAATAGATCTGTTTTCTTGGCCTGTGTTCTATGCTCTTCTGTGTACTCCTTTTAAAGAAGGTGTCCACAGCCGAGTGTAGGCTTTTAGTTTGAACTGACCAGGGTAGAGGAACTAACATCCTTTTTATTCTTATTCTCTGTTAATTCAGCTCATTTGCAGGTTTTTCTTTTCTTTTTTTTAAAAGCCTTATAACACCGTTGATTCATTTTGAGTACAACTAACACCTGCTGTAGTTTCATTTGTGCTGCGAAATATGGCTGAGATATATATCTCCTCCATTTGTGCAGTTGAACACTTTTAGACTCAATTGTAGGACCTCATAGACATCCACACTGCATTTTATCTAATTAAATTCAGCTTATTATTCCAGCCTGTTGAGCTATTTTGTTGTTACTGCACCTAGTAGTTTTTTTTTTTTTTTACTGTCCACGCCCACCTTTGAGTATGGCTTCCATATTTGGCAATACAAGTCATTGATAAACACCTTGACTTATCACTGGATTGAGAGAGAGAGAGCCCTCAGCATTCTCCATTCAGGTTCTCATTGATCCATTAATTGCCCCTTCTTTGGATATGATCATTGAACTAGTTTCTAATCCACCTACTAAGTCAGTCATCCACCTATTATTTTTTTAAAATCTTGTCCACAGAGACAGCAAGAGAAATATTACAGGAAGCCTTGAGGGGATTTCAGAGAGGCTACATCTCTAGCATGTCCCTGAATCGCCATTTTTGTCATCCTGAGAAGAGAGGGAATAAGACCAGTCTGGCATGACTTGGGCCTAATGAGTCCGTGCTGGGCCCTGGTGATTACTGGTTCCTGTTCTAAGAGCCCACGACCATCTCTCTTTAGCAACAGAGTCAGGATCCACCTTTAATCTAGATCTAAGCACAATACAAAAATGAAAATTTATACCGTTGTCTCCTCCCCAGTTATGCCGCACAATCGCTTAACTTCTCTTTCTCGCTTTGTGTGTTTAAAAAAAATAGGTACCGCCGCAGCTACGACTCGGACTTCACTGCTCCCCTGGTCTTGTACCACGTGTGGCCTGCTCTCATGGAGAATGACTGTGTCATTATGAAGGGAGAAGCTGTCACCAGGAGAGGGGCTTTTGTACGGTGGCCTTGCATAGTGACAATTCATCCCAAGTGTTTGATTCACAAGTTCGAGAACATTTATAAACCCAGAGATTCTATAAAAGAAGCTCATAGAGAGCGGTTTGATAAGATTTCATACCAAGGAGAGGAAGGAGATGGTCTGGGGGAAGAAACAGATTCTTGTCTTTGCTTCTTCCGATGATTCTTCATAATTTCCTGGCAGTGATTTTTCTTTTGTTGCTCTATTTATAAAATGGGACTAGTCGCGCAATTGCCTGCCCCATCTTAGAAATCTGATGATGTTTGAAGGACGCATTCCTTTGTACTCATCTCGTTTGGAGGCTGTCCTATAATTCTGAGCACTTAAAAGTGGTTAATGAACCTTCAGGAATCAGTTTGCCAAATTTTCACTGGCCGTTCTCCACCTTGGGAAACGATGAATGTGCTTTGTTTTTCTCTCCTTGGTATGATATGGAGGGGAGGGATGGAGGCAGGGGGCAGAGGAGGTGGGGAGAGAGGAACCAATCTGTCTGGGAAGGTTGCTTCCTACAGCCGTTGGTTACAGAATGTTTTGAACATGTTAAATAATGGAGCAGCCTTCGGAATGGAGCCTTAGGCATCGTGCCTGTGTGCGTGCGAGTGAGCGTGTGTGGGTTGCAGTGGGGACTGGGGATTGGGGCATGGACTGGTGGCCGCGAGGGCTTGGATATTATGCAGTGGTTCACGCTATGTAGTTTTTACCCCTGCCTTTTCTAGAAAGAGTTAATTATGAAGCGAAGTCCCTCGGTTCAGAGCAAAGCCCCCAGCTGGCTGGTCTCTGTTCTTGTCCTCTTTGAACTGAAGGTTAGGGGACGTGCTTCACACATATAGTGGAGTAGTTTATTTTAAAGAACTTAAGAAGAGGGGTTTTATTTTTAGCTTAACAATCCCATTACGGAAAACACTATCTTTATAGTCATGTCATGCTTCCGTTTGGCCGGTTCAAAAGAACGTGCTTGGCCAGGCGCAGTGGCTCACGCCTGTCATCCTAGCACTCTGGGAGGCAGAGGCGGGAGGATCGCTCAAGGTCAGGAATTCTAATCCAGCCTGAGCAAGAGCGAGACCCCTGTCTCTACTGAAAATAGAAAGAAATTCATCGGCCAACTAAAAATATAGAGAAAAAATTAGCAGGGCATGGTGGTGCATGCCTACAGTCCCAGCTACTCGGGAGGCTGAGGCAGGAGGATCACTTGAGCCCAGGAGTTTGAGGTTGCTGTGAGCTAGGCTGACCCCACGGCATTCACTCTAGCCTGGGCAACAGAGTGAGACTCTGTCTCAAAAAAATAAAAATAAAATAAAGTTAAGCCCAGTGAAACTAGGTTTTATTGATCTGACAGCTACACGTGCTCTATAATGAACGATCTCATAAAATATCCTTTTTGCTCCTGCAGCATCACCCTCTGCTAAGAAACTCTTACCTGCAGTTTGGAAGGGGATGGGGGAAAGAGCCACTCTTCTTATGTCCCACATCCAATGGTCATGGCCTTTTAACTTCCTTCTTCTCTCCCGTCAAACATGTCACCAACATTTGCCTGGACTTAAAGTCTAAAACAAAATGATAATACCGTGAAAGAAAGAACTTGGAAAAGAAAAATAATGAGGGAAGGGAGATGTGGAAGAAGGATTTTTTACTAGTAAAATCTCATTTTAGTGTGTATAGTTTTCTTATTACTTATTCATTTAGTTAGAGAGTAGATGGGCAACAGTGGTGTTTCATTCATTCATTCATTCGTTTCATTCAACGATTTATTTTTATTCAGTAGTTATTTAGGACCCAAGCCACCTCTATTTAGGTGCTAGGGATTTAGCAATGGATAAAAAGGACACAGACGCAAATCCCTGCCCACAGGGAGATTATATTCTCCTACGCTTACAAACTGGAATGTAAATTTCTAACAGTTTACTCGTAAAAAAAAAAAAAATTCTGCTAGCACCAAGAGTAGGAATATCCCAAATTTCACTGTGATGGGATTCTATCTGAGAAGTTCCAGATATTGGGCAGCTATAGGGAATGACAGGAGCTGGGGGTCTCCACAATAGTGGGCGAGTGTGATCACATCAGTAAAATTGCTAATCATGCGGGATATGCAAGTTGCTTTAAGCCATGCCAGCTTTCACAAACTCTTGACTGTTTCTCTCTCTCTCTCTCTCTCCCTCTCAAGTGGAGCTCGGTGCGTTCTGTAAGTCGATGTCGAAGCAGGAGTTTGAGTCCTATTTGCTCCCGTAGCCGTATTGGATTAAGCGCAGTACGTATTCGTCTAGTTATTTTTACACAAAGCTCGTCTGTGGTTGACACTTTCTCTGCTTCAGCAGTCGCCTATAAAAGAGGTGATTATAAATCTATAGATAGACAGAGAACCTGTTGCAAGAATGCTTAACCCCAAGTTGATTTTTCTACCATTGCGGGCTTGGGAGTTTATCATTCTAGAAAGAAGTAGAGGTAGTTTTTTTTTCTTCTTGATTAGTTCAAGGAATAATAGACTTTACTTATTTCATAGTTTTTTTTTGTTTTTTTTTTAATCTGTGGGTAGAATGGGCTATTTAAGATCAGATGGTTTTCTAAACAGAGAATAGGATACCTTAGTCAGCTGATTTGGACACAGGTCCTTGGTTCCTGTAGCAAGTATTATGTGAGTTTGGAGAAATTACTCAGATGGTCTGGATTTCAATGCTTTATAGAGGGCATTGCAGGTATTAATTTGTCCCCAGCTTCAAAGTAGGAAAAATAAGACTTGTTTCTTTATGTGTTAGCGCTTGGAAAGATTACTAATATGTCTTTCAAAAAGAAAGAAAAAAACAACAGCAAAAACATCTCTGAACACTATGGAGATACCATCTCTAAAATGATTATTATGATTCACCACTGTTCATTATTCAACACATGATGTGTAGTCAGTACCTTTTGAAGACAGGGCTATGCCAGTAAAAATTCTTTTAAGTATTTGTTCAACCTTGTTTTAGAAGAGAGTGAAGGAGAACCACACCTGAGATTGCCCTCCTTCCCCAAAATTGTCTCTGGCACACGCAGCTGTGGCCCTAGTGGTGTGACATACACCTCCTTGGCAAGAACAAAAACAAACAAACAAATAAAAACAAAAACTCCAACAGTTCCTAAGACCCGGATTCCTTACTGGGTTTTGTGAGCATCTATCATGGCTTTAGCATGCCTACCATGTTTCCCCCAAAATAAGACAGGGTCTTATATTTATTTTTTCCTCAAGAAGACACCCTAGGGCAAATTTTCAGGGGATGTGTTATTTTTTTTTAAGTACAGTACAAAAATCTACATTGATTCAAATGTCATCTTCTTCTGGAACATCATCCTCACTCTCCAAACCCCGAATCCCATCCTGAATGTCTTGCAACTCTGTTTCCTTTAGAACCACTGGCCCCGATCTCTCCTGTGGAGCACTAGAGCTCTCACGGGGCAGATGAGAAGGGCTGCTCGTGTTCTTTCCTGCTCTGCGACCACACGCATGGGTTGTGCAGATGCGCTGCGCAGCCACGCCCGTCACTAGGGCTGATTTTCATAGCCATGCCCATCACTAGGGCTTATTTTCATAGCCACGCCCATCACTGGGGCTGATTTTCATAGCCACGCCCATCACTAGGGCTGATTTTTCAGGGTGGGGCTTCTATTGCGCACATGTTTAGAAATCCTGCTAGGGCTTATTTTATGGGTAGGTCTTATTTTCGGGGAAACATGGTACTTATCAAACATTCCTTCTGTATCTGGGGGTGCTAGATTTGAGAGGGACACAGAACTGACTAAAAGACCATCTCTTCCCTGAATGGGTCCCAATATAGGAAGATCAATATGATTTAAACAAAGTAACTGAATGTGACCCAGTCTATAAATCGCTGAGTTTATACTGTGACACAGTATAATGCAGTCCATAAAGAAGCACAGGGGGCTGGAACCATCAAAGGAGCTCAAGGTTCCTTCTGGATTTGGGAATGAGGAAGGGGGAGGGGTTCATGAGGGAGTGGGTGTTTGATCTGGCCTTTCAGAGTGGGTGGAATTGCAGTGGGCTGGGAAACAGAGGAGGATTCGAGTGAAGAAAATGGCCCAAGAAATGTTGGGGAAATGGAAAAGTCATGCATCTGACACACAGTCCTTTTGCTCGTGGCGATTGTAATACAGTTTAATTATCCTTATTTACAAATGAGTATTCCAGTAGGGAAAAGCAAAAGGATAGTGCATTCAGTGGATTGATAAATAAAAAGGAAATCTTGAGAGCACCGTACTGGGCAAATCACAATCCTCCCCATTCTAAGAGGAGATGACATATCAGAATAAAGAGTAAGATTAGATACTTACTGTGCTACAGACAGGGCAGACTTTAACTCAGGACTCTACTGGAAGGCTCATCCATTTGCAGTGTCCTCTGTGATGAGCCCCTAGACAGGTTTGAACCACTTTCTTTCTCTTTCTCGTAATTTTTTCGCTTAGGAAGAACAAATTAATTTGAACATTAGATAGGAAATAGTCTCAAAGGTGAAACTGCTGCCAACTTTCTGTCTCTTTCTATCATCCTTTCACTACAATAAAACTGGGTACACCTGCACAATAAAAAAAATTGGATATTTTTGGTTAGTCTGGTTTTTTTTTTTTTTTTTAGGTGTGGCTTATTTGAGGTATTGAATCATCCAGAACAGATTCCATCTCCATTAGCATCTGTTTATCTAATGGGTTTGAAAACTCAGAGTAAGAATGATGCCTGTAGCATCAGTGGGATTACAGTATGGTACCTTTTGCTTAGTGCAAGTAAAGCTGAAATTTGAGAAATGATTTCTTTTCTGGCTGCTTGGTGACCTTCCTTAATAAGGCAGAGTTTTAGACATGTGAGATAATTAATGTATATAAAGGATCTGCCCGGAGATTATATCATTATTTTAGCTTTAATTAGTTGATTATAATACTTATTTTTATTTTCTAAAAAGCATTGAATTCAATATGGCTGCTCTTAGGCCACTGGGCCCAGCTTTTAACGAATAGTATAATTTAAACCATATAATTTATATGTAAATTATAAACCATATATATATGGTTATATATATATATAATATACCATATAATTTAAAATTGGGTGCCCATTAACTTCAGGAAGTATGAAAGGAATCACAGTGGTCAACTGTAAGGGGAAGAAAAATCATAGTTCTAAAGTGCCTTGGAGCCGATTATTTAGCTGCTTTTAGGACAAAAGACGTTCAAAAGGATTCGTCTTTTGGGCCCCATCTACTATGTGCCTCATGTACCCTTTTCTGTTTTCCAGATATCTCGAAGTCGGAGCCCTTCTCCAATAAGATGTGTATTGCCAAGTAAGTGGGACAGTTAAGATGGATCAAGTTTTCTGCTCCTTAATACTCTAGCACTCAACACTGTGCGGCAAAATGGATGTTTTGCTTCCTAGGAAGCACCTTTTCCCTCCATCCACCTCACACCTGTCATGTCTGGGCCTCCCAAGCAGGTGCTAAGGGCTACGGAAGAGGTGACCCCAACCCAGAAGTCTTATTGCTGCAAACCTAGATCAGCCTCCCCTCTTTCATTTAAGTGCTTCCAAAAGAAAAATCCGAGAAAGCGGCCATAGTAATCAACTGTTTATGTTTCTCCCTAGGGTTTTAAAGCCACTAGACATGTTCCTTTGCCGCAGTTCGTCCTAACAGCTAAGTTCCCGGGGCCTCCACCTGCCTGCTGTCTGCCTCCGACCTCACTTAAGATAATGTGAAAAGGCAATTCTGTGTATCACTCCGCACAGAGAGTTAAATGTTTTGGCTTAGCGTGTTTGTAACCTCAGATATATTGCACTTTATTCTATTATTTTTATAGACACAAATTCCATTAATTTCATAAAAACGATTGCATAGGCGTTTAGGATCATATTCATTCGAAGCAGAGTCCATTACAGAGGTGCAGGATTTCCATCCTAAAATACCAGGCTCTTTTCAGTAGCAACTGTCTGAACTCAAGTGGAAAAGTGTTTTTACCACACTGAGTCCAAAAGAGAAGAGGAGTCATTTTAATTTACAGAGTGAGCACAAACGTTATGATAGTTGGTATCAGCTTTCACTTGAAACCAATATTGGGTGCTTTAATTTCCTTTTAAGGTTTGGGGAGCTCAGGTTCCCCAAAGTGACTTAAGGCTAAATGTAGAAGATGAAAATTTAAGAGAATATAATTAGTTGGCTTGCTTCCCCTCTGTTCTTATTTTGGGAGTGCCCAGTTTGGTTTAGTTGAATACTGAATGAACGTGGAAGCTGCTTAGTTGAGAGAATTTTCTTGCTCTGTAAATGCGGAGCAGCGATTTGATTAGGAGTCAGCTTTGAGATAAATGTTAATTACCTCCTGTTTAGCTCCTAGGAATGCTTTATACTGTTTTAATGCACATGTTAAATATAAAAGTTACCTGGGACATGCATTTTACCAACTCTACCTAGTTGTTTGCAAATTCAGACCTCCTATGAACTCCATCTGATTAAAAATACCTAAACTCAAGGCCTAAAACTAGGGCACTATTTATTGATCTGATTTAGGGGCACCAGTGATTTATTTTAAATTGAGCATATATCCCTTGACTTCACCGTCAAGTACTCTTGAAAGTTCACGTTCAAAATAAGAATGGGATGTTGTTTTCTTGAGATAATGTTCATTCTACTTTTTTTTTTTTTTTAATTTTTTTTTACTTTCAAGCCAGCCTTCAACTCAAGCCTCACAGATGTCTGCTTTCTTTATATACCTTTTAGAGAGACGCTTTGAATTGGCCACAGCTCAGCCCGCAATAAGTTCAGTGCCAGACCCAGTACCCAGTGCTCTTCAGGTGAAAACAAACCAACACAGAAATTTCTCTAGAGCATCCTGCCCCTGGACTGGAAGGTAGATGGGTTGTGGGGGGGACTTCCGCAGTCCCCACCCCTCGAGTCTAATGGTCACCCACTCATTCTGAGGTGTGAGTTCAATTTTTCTCCCTCTTTGCGTATTTATGTAGTCATCACTTTGAGGCAATGCAGTATTCTAGAAGGAGCACCAGATGCCCAGGTAGCTGCTAGTCCCACCTTGGTCATTAACTTGCTTTGTGGCCTTGAGCAAGTTACTGTACCTCTCTGAGCCTCCGTTTCATTGCAGAGCGAAGAGGTTGGATGAATTTAGTGGTTCTCTTCACCCTACCAGACTCAATGTCCCTTTTATGACAGATATTTTATCCCAGATATCCTGAAATGAAAGTCAAAGTTAATATGACCTATATGCATGTATAATTTTATTTTATTTTATTTTATTTTTTTTTATTTTTTATTTTTTTAGCTACTCGGAGGCTGTTTCAGCATGTATAATTTTAAATAATGAACTTGGTACTCTAACTGAATATAAAGTAGAAAAAAGGGAAAAGAACTTTTTAATAAAATGTATTTCAGTAAAAAAGCTTGGGTATAACCACCCTAGAAGATAAAATTAAGTTGTTAGATGCCTGAACCTGTATGTAGAGTAACCAGCTACAAATGCAGATCAATATGTATATTGACAGTGGAAAATCACAGGGTAGTTATCAGATACAACTTTCTGAAATGGTGGACAACTCTTAGTAATGTTTCAAACACAAAACTTAACAATCTTAATTTACACAGGAATTGTATTCCCGGAAAATGCAATGTATACACAAACACAATGAGTGAGACGTGCAACGTTTGGGGGATGGTCACGCTTAAGGCTCTGATTTGAGGGGGGAGAGGGGCATGGGCAATATATGTAACCTTAACACTTGTACCCCCATAATACGCTAAAATAAAATAAAAACAACAACAAAAAAAACCCCCATGCAACAGTTACTTTGTGTTATATGTTAAAATGTTTTTTCCTAAAATTTCGCTAAGTAATGAGAATGCCTACATATTAGAATTGTTTTTCAGGAACTGAACACACGTACCCTGATTTGGAAAAAGGTCACACATACATAGCTCAGTTTATTTGCTATGCACTCTCCCTGGCCACTTGCTATTTCTCAACTTCCTGATTTGAACTGTAACTACACAGGGAAAGCTGAGTAGTCTAGAATAATTTTTGAAAAGAATCCACGAGACCAAAGGAGGCTGACCTTGTACTCATTCATCTGGGGGTGTACCTTAACCTTAGAGACTTTGAAAAATGAAAAGCTCTTATCTTGTAAACTGTGTAAATGTTAGTTTTCTGTATTATTGGTTTAACATCTAATAATAAAATCAAGAAAAAGTGCTTTTGCAGCTGTTGGTTCTTTGCAAGGAAGTGCCTTCCTCCCATAGTCCCAAGTTCAATGATATTTCTCCATCTCTGATCTGTGAGGCCTGAACCAGATCTACAAATTCATTCAGTACCTATGGGCCGCAGCCTGCTCTGAGGATGACTCCGGTGTCTTTGCAGTTCCACACTGCAGGCTAAATTGCCAGCTTTATTTTATTTTATTCGCAGCTCATTGTCACATTCAAGATGCTGTCTCTGAGTAGTGCTTCACCATTTTCATGGAGCTTTCGCTTACATTATTTCGGTCCCTCCACGCAACAAACCTAGGTGTGTCCTCAATTTTATAGGCAAGGAAGCTGTTCATCCCCGGGGCCTTTTATTTTAGAATAAGATTCTATCCTGCTTTCTTTTATTTCTCCATGACATATCATTTCAGTCCTTTGTTTATGGGTTTATTTATTCTTCTATTCATTCATACACTCATCGAATACTTCTTGAAGACCTCCTGTGTGCTACCCATAGTCCACACTGCTAGGAATACAGTAGTGGACAAGGTTCTGGCTTTTACAGAGTTTAATGCCATGTCCCGTTGCATTCCCTGGTGATTTTCTTGTGATAAAGAGCAGATATGACGGGAGAAAGAAAAAAAAAATGGAATTAGAGTACAGCAAATGCAAAAAAGAAAATGTTACATATCAATTGAAGGGCTTAAATACATGAATGTATGGGGCAAATACCTACATAAAAAAGCTATGAAAGGCAATGAGTGGTAGGATAGTGTGGTGAAGTACATAAGAGATTATAACTCAAATTATGCCATCTACAGGTGAATTAATCTTTTAGCAAATATCTGTTGAGCCTATACTCCTAGATCATTAATAATAAAAATAGGAGGGAGGGGAAGAAGGGCTCATAAGATCAATTCAAATACCTCCCATTATGCAGCTGTGTGCCCCACTTGCTACATTCCTAAGTGACAGTAATTTGCAGGCCATGCTAACTTGCTTTTAGGCACCCCACAAATCCTTTGTGAGGCATACCCCTGCCAATAGCATTCTGTAAAGTTTGGGTTGATTGGAAGATTTCTTAGTAGTATTGCTTTGAATAATTTCATACCTATAATTAAGGGTAAGGTGCTACAGGGCTTTTAAGAAGCCAGTATCACACTACATGAGGTCATTGAAATATGAGCCTAGGAACCACATGGGCAAGTGACATTCAGTATATGCCACTTAAACACTGAAGCAGTGAAGTGTGTTGGCCTTAATACAGTCAGTGGGCAGAGGCTTTGAAAAATAAAGAAGAAACTAATTTTCTCATTTTAAAATGAAACGTGATGGAAAAATTTGACCCTTAAAAAACTGCCTACTAAATGTCAGCATTGGATATCATATTTTCCGTGGTGTCACTGGCAATTGCCTATCAAAACTGGGTGGCTGTGTCTATTTTCTATTGGGTGAACAACAAGTGACTATGATAAATGGTACAGTAGGTAACAGGTGTATTTCAATATAGTGTAAGCCATTATTTTAGTGACACGGTTGAAATAATGTATTAAAATTTATTGTAAAATATGTTTTAGAAAAGCGGTTTAGTGTGCCCTTCACCCAGACGGTGTGCATTGGACCCATTAGGTGTGAATTTACGCAAGTCCTCCTCCCCCCTCCATCTGCTTGACTTCCGTTGAATTTTACTTCCGTATGCGCACGTAAGCGTTGATGGATTAATTCCCATTTAGTATGGCGTACATGTGGTGTTTGTTTTTCCATCCTTGCGATATTTCACTTAGAAGAATGGTCTCCAGTCCCATCGAGGTTGTCACAAAAGACACTAGATCACCATTTTTTTATGGCTAATTTTTATATAAATTATGCTTTCCATAAGTCTGAGCCACGATTATACTTGGATCTTCAATAACTTCAATGACAATGTCTACTAGTAATTCTCAGATTTGTCTGATGATGAAAATGACCCATGCTTATTGGAGACAGATTGTTGGATCCTACCTTAAGCTCAGTGACTCAGGATCTCTGGGGGCATCTGTAGTTTCAACATCAGCAGGCAAGTTTGAAAAACACTGGTCTGGACCACACTTTAATGACCCACAAGCAGAATATTGCAGAAATAATTTATGGCATGCGTTATGTTCCCTCGAACTTTCTAAATGGAAAATGATGTATTCATTAAAAGCCTCTGAGAATGTTAAATTATTTGCTACAATCCAGAAATAGGTAAATTACTGAAAATTTAGTGAAACATATTTTTTATCTGCCTACGTACATATAAATATATGGCTAATTATGGACTATACAATCAAATTTTCAATAAAAGGGAAAGTTTGAGAATGAGTAGCAATTTATTTATCTTTCCCTAGAGTTTAAACTTTTTCTCTCTTGTTTTCTCATATTTGGACAGCTTCTTGGTTGAGCTGTCAGAATGTTTTTCTGATTAAACTTTATAAGTCATTCCTTTCCATCTTAATACATCTGTGTTCACTGTGTATAACTGTGATTTGGAGTCACGGACTTAGAGTAATGTGTCCCCATTGGTCATAGTTTGATTAGTGATGGTTGTCTGCCAAGGGAGCT